CACTTCGTAGTAGCACTAGCTGAGGATACAGTCCTTACAGTCCATGTTCTCTGACAACACTGTTGAAGATGAAGATGGTAGGACCTGGGTTCCAGTTGACTGGTTACTTTAAATGAACAACATTTGGATAGCAAACCTTGTCCGGTGATGAGATTCACAACTAGGTCTTTGTGCAAAAGGGCAAATCAGTTCATATTTTCTAAAGGTGGAGGTTTTGGGTTGTTTTTCAATTACTATTTTTATTTCGATTTTCTCCTTTCCTCCTTTCACTTAGGGGAATATTCAGATTGCTTGCTCAGTACCAGCTGGAGAAAAAAGACAACCCATCTTACCCAGGTAAGTACCCACCTTTGCTCGTCTGTTTGGGGTGTTGCCATTCACAGCAGCTCTGGCTTTTGGTTTGCAGGTTACACCTCCAGTAACAGAAGTGCTACAACAGTCGGCTCGGTGTCTAAGTGGCATGGTGTCTGACTCTGACAGGAAATCGATAGACTAGCTGGTTCTGAAGGATCTGCTCTTACTGTTGTCTGCTTTGTTTCTTAGACGTGACTGAGACCATTCATGGGGGCTATGGAGTTAAAAAAAATTAAAATTAGGTCTGTAAATTTGCATAACTTGCACTTAAAGGACCAGGGAAAGATAGTGGAATTTTTCCCATGCTGCTTCTTTATAGGTGACTTCTGATATATCCCTGCTTTCTAGGATGCATGTGGAATATTCTGTCACTATCTGTAATAGGTGCTGCAGTGGATATGAATAACCATGTTAATGGTACAGAAAGTAAGATAGACGAGTTGGAAATTAAAGAGATAAACCATGTTGGAAAGTGCATTTAAAGTGCTGTTAAAATTCCATTAGGCAACAGCTGACTGGAATGTTAATTCAGTTGTTTTCCATTAATTACTGAAATATTAGCTTGGCTGTAAACTTGAAAGAGGTGATGTTACTGTAGCCACTGTGGTCTGAGCCAAAGCACAACTTTCAGGCAGAGAAAATACCTTGTGTTAGACTCGGAATACTCTGACAATGTTACCACTTTCATTTCTTATTCTTGCCTTTTTCTGTCTCCAGGGCTGTCTTTCCAAGACTTCTACCAGCAGTGTCGGGAGGCTTTCCTTGTGAACAGTGACCTGACACTCAGGGCACAGCTGACAGAATTCAGGGACCACAAGCTCATCCGGACCAAGCGGGTGAGTTGAGGGAAGAATATAATTCTGGATATTCAGCTACTTTAAATGAAAAAGATGCTTAATTGCTACTGATGCTATATTGTTTTGAATACCTAGGAATTAGCAAGGGACTGAAATTCTGTAATTGCAGCTCTTTCCATGCCTCCAATTTGTCAACACCCTTTATATGCTGTAAAAATGCAGCGTGCTTTGGTTACTCAGCAACCTACATGTCTCTTCTTCTTGCAGACTGTGAGCAGTAATGGACTGTGGAGCCTGCCAGTCTGCTGCCAATAGTTACCTCTATTTTCACAAGGAAAGAATTCACTCATCCTAATAGTGAGGCAATATAGCAGTACTAGATATGGTGAGCTGTGTAGTGTCAGACTAGCACGACACACTAGAAGATTTCTCATATGCTGGCTTTTCTCAGTATTTGTGCATTTCCAGCATTGCTCCAGTGAAATATTTCTGGTTTTTAGTAAAGTAGTCCTTCAGAATGTTGGCCAGCTCTCGTCCAGAATGCAGATAAATGCTAGCATAGCAGTGCTGTCTGGTGGCTTGCCTTGTCCTGTACGCTGGTGTTAACAGAATGTGTATGTATGTCTGTTCACAGGGAGCTGATGGTGTGGAATACTTATTAATTCCTGTGGATGACAGTACCTTGACCAGCTTCCTAGAGAATCAGGATGAAGATGTGTAATGCCTCTGTGTTCTCAAAGCGTCTATGGCAAATGCTCTCAAGGGCTGCTGGAGAGGGACCGATACTCAGATCTCTCTTCCTCCAACCCCCCAGCTGCTGGATTGAAAAGTGTTAATTGTAATGAGACATGCTGGTTGTTCAGGTGGTTTGGAATGATGACTTGTGGAAGCACAGCATCTCCTGTGCTGTAGTTGCATTTGTCTGCTTTGTCTCTTAGCTCAGATGATGCCGCCTTCATATCTGTGCAGCCAACCTTACAGCCAGAAAAGCAGACTCGGTAAGACTGTGCCTTCTGCTCTCTACCTCACCACACATGAGGCATTGATTGGAGCAATGTAGTTGGGAAGGGCAAATCACAGGATGGTCACGGCTTTAGTTTGTGCTAGTGGTGCAGCTTTTCTCAACTGAGTGCTTTCCAGTACTCCTTTACTATTTAGACAAAACTAGCTTCCAGTGTATGAAGAAGCCAAGATTTAAAATGCTAGGAGACCTGCCTCGACTGCATGAGGAAAGGAGAAGACTAGTGGGTTTGGGATGCTGTGGGTAACTTTATAAATTCTGGCAATGGAACTGAAGGACTTGCCCCAAGCCTGCATCCTTTTATAAGAAGATTTAGATAATCAAAATTGTGATAGACTCAAGTCATTATCTGCTATTTTCCAAGGTGCAATCCAGAAATACGAAAAGGCTGTAAAGCTTTTTTCTTTATTTTTTTAAAGCTTGATTGTATATTTGTATTTTTTACATCAGGAGTGTCCGTTGATCCTGAAGGAGGCCTTAAATGCCACTAACAATCTCTCCCTTTTTTTAAGCTCTTAGAGTCTGGGAGACTGCTGAAGTTGGACATCTTCACTGTTTTGTTTTTTTTGTTTTTTCTCAGTTATGTGGGAGGAAGCTCTATAGTTCCATCAACTATTCTGCCAGCCAGACTTCAGGGACTCTGTATGTTTAACATCTGGTAGCTTTGTTACAGCTCAGTGTTGTAATAGTTCAGACGATCAAATAAAGTACTTTATTAATTTTCATTATCTTGTCTTGTCTTCCACAATCTTTTTATGATATAGGAAGACAGATTCTTGTGGCAATTGTGCAAAAACCTCATTTTTATTACTATGTCAAATATCTGAGCAAATCCTCATACGGTGTGCAGAAGGTTTCAAACCAGTTGGTAAAAACACATTGTTTCTTGTAAGGTATCAAAACTAAGAATGGTTTGCCTGCTTTTTAATACCACTATATAGCTTTTGAAGAGAACCAAAACATCCCATGGAGTAAGTTACCTCATCTGCCCCTCACAGGAGCAACAGGGATGTACAGCCAGACTTCTGTTTGTATTAGAAAAAACAGGACATCTTCTTATCCCACTATCAACTTGATTCTTCACGTGGGTCCTTATTAGCTCTACTGGAGAGACTGACTGATGGGAAAACTGGTATATGCCAGAAGTACTTTCAAGCTTCTTCCCCCAGAAAGTTTTTCAACTAACATTCGCCACTAGTAGCACTTGGATCTGCATTTTACAGGCTGCAATTTCAAAACTTCGCAAAAAGCATCAGATCCTGCCTATCACTACTTAGGCTACTGTCACAGTCCCTAAAAGCCACTAAACTGGGATCGAGGTGTTGTGACTTTCCCAAGTCCTGTAAGTTGGGTAGAGTTCAAGAACAAGAACTCTGCCACTTGAAGAGATTTCTTGGACAAACTGTAAACTGTAGCTAAGCAGCAACCACATCCTATTTTTCAGTCCTTTGATTCTCTCCACAGTTCCTGTAAAATTCAAGATTTCATTTGTATTCCGACTGCACACAGAAGACACCACCTAACGTGTTTCCAGACAGTGATACTGTGGTGCATTTTCCATGCAATTCTATCTGGTTTTCTAGATGTGAAATGTACTTTAAGGAAGTGCTATAATCATCCTGAGTTCAGAATTACCCACAGTTTTGGGAGACTACCAGATGCCCATCCGGGCCAGGAGAAGGACTGCAGGAGGTACCACACAGCTGCTAAGGAGGTGGTTAAGTTTGTATCCGTTTTTGGCTGCTGCTAATTCTGTGATGCAGGCTAGAGAAAGGTACCTTGAGTTAACTCCTGTGAGTCTTGTGTTAAAAGTATTTTATGTGATTTCATGCTGTTTCTGGACAGTTAGCCCATCTCTGCATTCGTTTTAGGTCTCTTGTGTTCTGTGTATGTACAAAGGCAGTGGCATTTTAATGTCCTCTCTAACAATACAGAACCACAGGGAATGAAGACATTTCTTCCCCCTTCGGGTTCCTCAGCTGAGATGTCTGCATGGTACGGGTAAGAATGATGGCCTTTTTATAGCCTTGGTAGCTTCAGATAATACCAAAGTCATCTCTTTCCACTTAAATGGAACTGGAAGAAGACATGGAGTTATACAGTAGAGACATTGCTTGATAAGCCAGTTTTATTAACTTAAAAGGATGGTGCCAAGATCTTTACCAATTTGTAATTGAAATATTTACCATCTGTAGATGGTATGATATGCAACTGTGAGATTTTTTTTCCCTTAAAAAAACCCCCATAAAAACCCCAACAACAAAAAATTAACTTGAAAAATTAAACTCAAGCTTTATCAGCGGTGAAAAACGACTGGTTCAGTTTTAGCAATCCTGTAACTAAGAGCCACAATTACAGAAACTGTTTCTAAAAGACAGTAACATTAAATTAATATACAGCTTTGTTAAGGAATTGAATTTTAATCTTCCAAAGCTTTTTCCAAGAGTCCCTCTATTAAAAAGCCTTTAAACTGCATTAGTGGTAGATTGTGCAATTGAATACTAGTACCAAAAACCTGATTTGTGTTCTGTATTTGCATCTGAGTGGTGCCTTAATAAAACTGTTAATTGAAATGGGTGATCCACACCCTTTCATTAAGTACTTTTTGTAAAATTTATTAGCTAAAATGTCAGTGACTTGCACTGGCATCATTTGACATAACTGAAGTGGGGTAGACCTGTGTAAGCTTAAATCTGAAGATAAGTCAGGTTTTACATATTTTACCCAAACCAATCCTAGAATATCTTGGTTATCAAATGTATCTAAATAAAAGCAAGAAGTAACAGTAAATTTATTCAAGTGCAGCCCAGTAAGTGAGTGAACAAACCTTTGGTAGCCCAAAACAAGTATTTATTTTTCTGACACGACAAAATATACCCCAAACTTCGAGGGACCGTACAATACAATCATTCTGCACTGAACCACTTGAAAACACCTCCACTAAGCTTGCAGCTGGATGAGTCTGTGCAAGATACCATGATTGACTGAATTCTCTCTCTATTACGTTTTTTTCCCCTATGCCACCTGGAGAGGATCTCTGTCCTTCTCAGACACAATGATGTTGACCTTGTTCTGTAGGTGGGTCGCTAGCACGTCACGCAGCTCTGACAAGAAGCCTCGCTCAGTGTTACTGTGCTCGCACAGAATAACACTTATCCCCTTGGCAACTGCATCCAGAACGTCGTGGTGAGACATCTCTCCTGCCATTTTGAGAAAGAAATGTCATGTAGATCATTATTAGTACAGTTTAGGTAATATAAAAATGGAATATAATGTAGTCTACAGAATCTGCAGAGTCTTTGCAGATTCTGTAGACTACATTATATTCCATTTTCTGTTGGGGAATTCTGTAGGGAATGCCACACAGCCATCTGATCCACATAATCTCTATTTAAATATTTATTCTTCTATCATTCCAAAAACTGATTGTTTCTCAATTATAAATAATAGGTAACCCTTTCTGGCCAAATCTTTCAACAACCAGTCAACTCCTGTATTTTTTCCCTGGCTTGTTTGTTTGTTTGTTTGTTTGTTTGTAGTGACTATTTTTATAAAGATAATGAATCAGCAACATCATCTTTTACCTGTGAGGTAGAGGTCAGCTTCTGTTCCCTTCAGGACACTGCTCCCAGAACCAGCACACAGAGCAGCTTTCTTCACCAGCGATTCTGCAGGACACAAGGTGCCACAGTTAAACTCTGTTCATCCCTCATGTCTGTACTGATTAACTGTTTCACAATAACTACCTTGATTTTAGGGTAAATGTAAATTTGTTGGAGTTGGTGACGCAGCTGTCAGTTTGAAGAGTCATGGGCTTATAACATCTCTGAAAATACAGCACAATCCTCTGTGATGGGTAGATTTTTTCCTTCAAGGGTAGGAAAGTTTTCAGAACACCACAACAGGTGGCTGGTTGATGGCTAGTTTTCTCCTAGTGAGGTCTTATTTAGCTAGGTTTCTGAACTGTTTAATAGGCTGCTACACTTTCCAGGACTTCATGTTCCACCATAATTTGTTTCCCAACTAATGATGCCATTATACTGGTTGCTAAATTTTAGCTCTCAGAAGGCCAGTCTTAATGCAAGCTGAAAACTGTTCCATGCCATTAAAAATTTGTCCAATTGCTGTGATAGCTGATTAGAAGCTATTACATGTGACAGGAAATTTAATTCTTCATATACATTAAACTGAGTAAGGAGAGGGGACACACAACACAGTTTTCAAATTCTGTTGAGGTTTTACAGTATCTTGCCTTGCAATTACTGTTCATTTAAGTGAAGACATATCACTTCATTCCCACACCATGAGAGGCTTCAGAATATTTTGGGGATTTTTTAGTGCAATTGATAGCAAAGAGGCTTCTAATAAGACTTTTGTCTCCTAAGTTACAAAGAGTTTTCAGCAAATTTGCTCTCGCAAATTCTAGTAGCTGTGGTGCTTGGAGATTGGGATAGGTAGCTGGGATAAGAGGATGCTTGCTCCACAGTTTTCTAAAGACTCCACTGTATGAGCTGGTTCACCTTTTTGCCTTATCTTTCATCAGAACATGGTTCATAAGGATACCATGAAGCGTCTTACTATTTTGAGATGGTTTGAAATTAACACTCAGCCACAAGAGGGAATGTACAATGACACAGTACACCTCTGTGTGTGTTATCCTGGGCAGCAAAACAAATCTTAGTAATTATATAAATTATGAAATGTATTTGATTTGTGCTGTCCCTTCTTTACTGCGTCAACCAGCGTAAAACATAACTTCCCACTAGAAGTACAGATGAGATTCTTTCTGTGTGGTTGTACTGTCTAAATTCTAAGATGCTGTTTCCTGGCACTGCTTCACAGAGCAGGTTTACTTGGAAGTAAACTTGTTTAAGACAGATCAGTATTTGCCACTCTCACACACACACACACTCATGCTCCTTATCTTCCTGGAATGCCGGTCCTAAGGGACAGTCTAACGTGCAGGTCTGTTTACCTCGTGTCTTGCCCGTTCCCACAGCTACACGGACGTGAGGTAATTTTAGGTGGCTTTTGATCCGCTCAATTATGTTTGACAAGGAGACTGGCTCGCTCAGCGTGCACAGACGTCCCATTCCAGTGTGGGGAAGAAGAGGCTGAAAAGAAATTAAAATCACTGTGAGAAAGCTGACCCCAGAAGCTTGCACTGCTTTCCATACTGTACAAAGGTGAGTATACTGGGCATTCGGGAACATCTCTGAACTTTACAAAAATATGTGTGATGTCCTACAATGTAACATACTAGTTACACCAGCTATTGGAACTGTTTTAAGAATTAGCACAGGCCACCTAAATATTTTCATTGCTTTGGAAACCACGCGTGGCTTCAAATCCCCATAAGCCAGTATTTCAGCTCACTGATGGGGTAGCACTGGAAACCTGTGATGCTGCATTTCAGTGTTTGGGGCACTCAGCTCACACAAGTAATACATTCACAGGAAGTAATTAATGATTCCGTTACCTTTTGTAGCAAGAGAATCTCGGTCTTGCGATAAAGAAGGCTGTTCTGGGACAATAATGCCACCACCTCCAACAGGGCTTTCTGAGAGCAGTTCAAAGTGACTCGTGTTTGCTCCTCACCTTCAACCCTGAGGAAAGATATGCTTGGTGCTTGCTAAGAAACTAGATCAAATTACAGCATTATAATTATAAAACAAAGCTATTCTGCCTCAGTTGCTGTTTTACCACTGAAAAAGGAACAAAGAAGGAATAGCCTAGCCTAGTTCACTCCCATGGAAAAAACAGATATGGGAATTCAACTCATCTGACCTCATCAGATTTCCTGTTAATACTCCTCTTTAGCACCTCTAATCTATGTGATGCCAGACTTGAGTTGCTGTTACCATGTAGCATGATTGATCAGAAAGGGACAATAATTCCTTAAATTTCTGGGTCTGCTGCTGAAAAATATAGCAGCAATGCACAGAGGAACAAAGTGGTTACAATAGTAAAGTACAGTTGCAGGAACTTATTGTTTCAAACAGAAAGAGTACAACACTAGAGAGCGGAGGACGTACCTGGCTGGGAAAGTAGTGAGACAAGAGATCTCTTGGATGTCTTTGATTTTGGACAGCACTACTTCCAGATGCTCAGTGTCTGTGCAGAATTCTACCCGGTGAGTGCCCTCAGCTGGACAGCTTGGTGCAGTTGATGGATGCAGTGGGACTGAAGTACAGGCACCTGAGAAAACAGTACAAGACTGCTGTTTTATAGAGCTGGAGAAGAACACTGATTTAGCACGTATCCTAAAGAGATACAACAAAAAGATGCAAATTTTGCACTCAAATCCATTTTCCCTGACCAGAACTGAGGACATTTTGTCCTGTTGTTTCCATATTTTTTCAGTCCAAAGAAGTTGATAGATATTTATTATTTGTCGTTCTTAGTGCCATCAATTTTATCCTAAGAATTGTACAAAACCAAAAATAGTTTCTGCTTTGTATGGCAGACTGGAAAAGACACAGCTGTTATAACCTATGAGTCATAAAATAATTTCAGGTAGTTTAAGTCCTTTGCAAACAATGAGATCTTGTACTTTATAAATTACAGGTGGTGATTTAAAGTCGGTGGTCTAAGCTTTGCAACCACAGCAGACAATATATATGCTCCACCAGTTCCAATAGTAGTCATCCACCAGTCATGGATTTGAAAATGTCCTCTAGTGTTTATATCTGGTATATATCACCAAGATAAATTTCCTAAAATATGTTTAAGGTTCTTAGTAGTACTAGAAAAATATCGAGGGGAAGAAAGAACAAGGAAGTCCTGTAAAATCTTGAAGAAAGAAAAATGAGGAAAGGTCCTCATAAAACAGCATATACCGATGAATAATTTTAACTTTTTGTTTGTTTTTAACAGAATCTCACCGAGTCCCTTTGTTAGCCAGTTATTAACTCCGTGAGGTATGGCATCGTAGGCTGTGTGTGGAGAGTAAATCCCAATTCTGTGCTCCAGGGCTCGGACCACCAGCCGTTCCTTCCAGGTCTTCCACGTTACTCGCTTGAGCGGCGCGAATATAGGTGGGTGGTAAGATAGAATAAGGTCTGCCTTCTTTTGCATCGCCTCTTCCATCACCTCCTCGGTGAGATCGTTAGTGAGGAAAAGGGTGTTCACAGTGTGGGGAGGACTCGGTTCCACCAGCAACCCCACATTGTCCCAGCTTTCCGCCAGAGAGAGGGGCGCGAAGTCATTCAGGGCAGAAACGAGCTCCCTGAGGTCCATGAGGGCGCGGGCGTGCAGGCGGCCCAAAGCACGGATGCGGTGGAGAGGCCGGCGAAGCAGCGCCGTGCCAGGCAGCAGCATGCGGCGACCTCAACAGGGGGAAACAGGCCGGAACGAGCCCGGGTAAGCCACCGGCCCGAACAGCAGCGAGATCGCTCGGGCTCCCGGGGTCACGCCCTGCACAGCCCCGCACCCAGAGCGCGGAGCGGGAGCGTCATCCCCCCTCCCGCGGCAGCACCGACCCGCAGAGCCCGGCCGTGAGGAGTCTCTTCCTCAGCCGAGGGCAGCGGGCGGCACTGCGCTCCCCTCCCGCAGGGCAGGCTCGGTGCTGCGGGGCGGGACCCGCGCTGGCCCCGCCGCTTCCGCTGCGCTCCGGGCCTCCACAGCGCCGCGTAGGGTGAGCGGCGGCCCCAGGCGGGAGGCGAGTCCCTGCCTCCAGACGATCTGTCTGGATCCAGCCCCGGCAGGTTCAAACATCCTCGCCCGTGGACGGGGAGGGCCCGTGGAGGAGCTGGGTGGCGGCACCTCGGGTGGGCAGGGAAGGAGCCACAGCTCCGGGTTGTGGGTGAGCGGGAGCCGAGCGCAGGTGGGGACGCCGGAGCCGGCTGGTGGCGGCTTCCCCGGGCTCCGCGGGGGTTCACCGGGGAGGGCGGTGTATAGAGGAGAAATCAGCGAGTAAATCTCTTGATTTCTACACAAATTCCATTGTATTAGCGCCATTCTAAACGCCTTATTTGAAAATGGTACTAAGATTAAGAAAGTCTGGTCCTGTGCTCGGATGCAGGTTCCGGGCCGTTGCAGCTGCCTACAGCTGTCAGGAGCCGGCTCCAAATCACATGTCTATTAAGTACTGCCATGGGGCTTTTATCTGGTAATTTCTACCATTTACTATTCTGCCAACTCTCATAATATTTGGAAAAACCGATTGCTTAGTATAAACTTTCATCCTAGGAAAGGGTGATTAGCACCTTCACCCCTTTTCTCTAAGTGATCTTTTTGTGCTAATTTCAGTTCTTTATATGATGTGTAGCTGCTTAATGCAAGTAAAACTTATCCACAGTCCCTTGAATGGCACTGTAGAACCATGTGATGTAAAAGCATATAACCACATAAATATTTTAGAATCAGAAAGAAATGGGGATTGGCGGGAAAAAAACTAACAAATTTCTTATGTTTTCTGTGCAGGAAATTGCTGTATAGAGAGCTGCCTCAGCTTTTTGATAAGCAGACATGGTAAGAACAAAAGCACTTTTTATATATTTTCATTCTTTCTTAAATGGTCACCTTTTGGAAGGTGAACAGTTGCTCTGCATCTCAAAGGATTACACATATTACTCTGATGCTGTAAAGAATTTGTAATGAAAAGTTTAGGTTTTCATTTCAGACTTATAAAAATATATAGTGAAAAGGAAAACCAGTTCATTTACATTAGTCTAAAATATAATTAAACTTTCACTTCAAAGATCCTAAAATTTAATGCTACTGTGGCATGTATTTGATAATCTAGTTTAGTTTCTTTTACCACAGAAGCATTACTCCAGTTGCAAGCCCTGCTTCAGTGTGTGTAAACTTCTGTACTTGCAGACTTTTAAAAGTTTAGCAAATCAGGAAATAGAGATAAGAGTGTACATATCTTAAACTGGACATATACCTTTTATAGCACCTTCATGGACACTGTGGGCAGCTGTCTTCTCTACTTTACTTGTATATATGCCAGTATCAACATGATGCTGATTTTTGTTATTTTTCCTGGGCACTTATCTCCACAGTAATTGTTTTTGCATTTTCATGGGAGCACTATGATATATGGGGCCTGTAGAGATATATTTGCTTAGGTGACTGGGTAACTGCGGTTTTATATTTTATAAAGCTAATTTATAAATTCTTAAGAAAAGTATGTTATTTTGTACATTTGCTTGTCTGTGAAGGCAGATTATATCCTCTGTCATTTAGAACTAGCTTTATCAGCCAGAAGGCTGCAGGCAAGTAACACACATTAGTTGATCCTCTGTTTATAAACGAGTGAGGTGTGTGAACCACACTATCTTCCAAATAAGTATAACCTTGATTCTTCACCTTTACAGTCAAGTGACTGAGTAGGTCCAGTTGCAAGTGAATAATGTATTTCTGGATTGTGACACCGTAAAACAGCTTCTGCATTACCATTGCGAACTTGATTCATCCTGAACCTGAATGAAACCGAATGCTTTCTGGTGATTTTACTGGAAATGGGGAAGGACAGTAGCCTTATTTGGCTTATGGCCAAGTATTGAAACAGTGGTTATATGCAGTGGGAACTTGCTTATGTTCTTTGTGGGACTGAGAAATAAAACTGAGTCTGATAGTATTCCATTGCTGATTCAATTATTATTTTCTACTTTTTGCTCAGGCTGTCACGCTGCATACCGATGTAGGAGATATTAAAATTGAACTATTCTGTGAGCGTACTCCAAAGACTTGTGAAGTAAGTCAAATTACAGGAGCAGGATTGCCTAGTGCTGAAACAAAGCAGTAGAAATAGTGAAGACTGTAGAGGAGGTAGAGTGGCTTTTGCAGTTCATCCATTCACATACTGGAATGCTAACATTTTAAGCTGCTACAGTGTCTTTTCCACTCATGGAACTTGTGCACTGTGTCATACTGTCTAGAGTGTTGATGCCTGTTTCTGACTTGGTAAGGTTTAGCTAAGGGACACTTCTCTCGAAGTTCCAGCACCTCCCAGTGTCCTCTGCCCCCAAGGGGAAATATGGCACAAATCATGGGATTCCCAAATTTCCACAGGTTTGCTCACACTCTCACAGACTTGATCTTAGTTTAAAAGAGTGAGGCTCCCAGTTTGTCAGAGGCCCCAGCTTTTCCTTTCTGCAATAAATTGAAATAATCTATTTTTTAATGAAAAAGCTGAGGCATCAAGTTACTGATTACAGAATTACACGTGCAAAATAAAAAAGTTGAATGGGAGTGGCACTTCAGAGCATATCTCAGGCTTTTTGTTTGTTCCTCGAGTCAGACAACCTTGCACTGTAAGCTTTAAAATTCTTTGTATGTGTGACACTGTCAAAGGAGTTTATTAATTAAGATTTTTTTTGTAACTGTTCTGTGGCAATACTCCGTGGAATTCACATAGTCATGATGCAAAGCAGGGGAAAAAGCATTGGTCTTGCCAATTCTGTCATTTTAATAAGATGATACTATTTTTCAGTTGTTTGTTAATATGGTGTGTTTGATTTCCGCAGAATTTCCTGGCTCTTTGTGCTAGTAACTACTACAATGGATGCGTATTTCACCGAAATATAAAGGGCTTCATGGTTCAGACAGGGGATCCATTAGGTAAATTCTTCTGTCTGGGTCTCTCTATAGAAAAATGTACATAAAAATAAAATTCAGAGCTATATAAGCAATTCTAAGTATTAATATTAAACCTAAAATGTAAATAAAAAAAAATAAAATATAAGAATTATTGCATTGGTGATAGAGGTTTTAGTGCTGAGATTAGTTTTCTGTGGTGGGCTTACAGAAGTGCACTCATTACTCTGGTTTTAAATAATTGTGCATTCTACAAACTTGAGTTTTTCCAGCTGTTTCCACTAAATATGATGGATCTGTTGACTTACTAGCTGTTGAATGTGGAGAAGTTGCTACTCTGCTTATCTGGTTTCTGCTTGAAAGGCTACACTGCCTCTAAAGCATTTGGGGAAAATGTCCCAAACGGTGTCAGCTGTTGGGGAGAAAATCTGATTCAGCTCGGTGTCTGTTTATACTCACACTGAATTTAATCTGAGGATATGTCACTGTTTTGCTCTGCTACTTAATAGGTGTTCATTACATAGAGTTAAATGTGCAGTATCAAGAAACAAGAACCTGATCCCTGCCTCAAACTAATTATAGCCTATCTAGGGTCTTTGTTTTAAAATGTCATAACAGAACATAATTCCTGGATTTTTCAGTCTGAAAATCTGATAATCTCTACTGTGGTGCTTCTTCGTCAGGCACTGGGAAAGGAGGTAACAGTATCTGGGGCAAGAAGTTTGAAGATGAGTTCAGTGAATACCTTAAGGTATTTCTTTGCTTTCAATATGCACTTATGTTTTCATATGAATTTTCTTTACAGGTTGGAGAACAATCAGCATAGTGTTGTACTGTATGAAACACCTCTTTGGTAATTGTAAAACAAAGTATAATCCTGCAGTAAAGGATAGAAAGCTTAATATTGTTAAAATAGGAACAGGCATTTCTGTGCTTGGCAAGTTAGGTTTGAGGATTTTCATCACTGAAAAGAGAAGTAAAAAGGATTTGTAACAGCCTTTTTCATGCACTTAAGGCAAAGTAATTTTTCATTCTAAGAGTAATCTTGAGGAGCTAATTATGAATTGTGATAGAATATATTAGCAACCAAGATTTGTTCAGAATAATGGTATTGAGGCAGAGTTCTGGGTCACAGAGCACTCTGTACAGGTTAGTCCTGCTTTCAGAGCTGTGTATTCACACTGAGGTTTCTCCCCGTGTCCAGCACAGTGTCCGTGGGGTAGTTTCAATGGCAAACAACGGCCCGAACACCAATGGATCGCAGTTCTTCATCACTTACGGCAAACAACCGCACCTGGACATGAAGTACACTGTGTTTGGAAAGTAAGGATCCAACTGCTTGGCTCTTTATCAGTGTGTGGGAAGGACCTGAGGATTTCAGGGCACATGCCATGCAAATTCAGAAGCTTCTGGTTCTAAGACTCTTTAGAATATTGGATATGTATGTATGTAAATGTATGTTCTTGCACTGGCACCAGAATTAGTTGCTCCAAAATGCTGCTCCCTTTTTCTTAGTGTTAGGGAATTCAGTGGAAATAGGCATATTAAAAATTACCTCAAGAATGTAGATTTTCTTTCTTTCTTTCCCTCTCCCTCCCCCACTAGTTATTCCATTTGGCTTTTCATCCATTCCCAAATGGATACAGCCTGATTTTAAACGAACTCCAGAACATCTGGATATACAGTTGTAGGGTTTACTGAGAAGTAAGAATCTGATTTGAGACTGGATCTGGGGATGGGTTTGGTACTTCTAAGCCTGTTGCTGGGGAATAAACTGCCAAGATTTACCAGAATTAGTCGCTTAAACAAAAACACGTATGAGGTTTTAGTAGAAGAATCTCTTGCCAGTTCTTCAGCCTGAGCAGGAAATCTGTGCCATTAGATTTACAACAGTTGTTAATGATTCTGTCCAGTCTTGTCTTTGAGTCAGAAGGTTAGAAATTATAATCTCAGATTTGGATATTGATTTCCCAGATGTAAGATTTCAATAATTCTGACTGAAGTTCACTAGGGCCAGTATCTTGCTGCTACCTAAGCCCGGTACTGTGTTTGTCAGTCCTGCTTGTCAGGAAGTGCAGCCAGGAACTTTATATAGCTGTGGTTGGTATAAAATACGATTCTGTCAGGTCAGCAGGAATTATTTGTACTTTTTTTGAGAATCCATCATGGATGCTTAATATTTCCTTTCAAAGTACATTATTTGCCACATACAATGTTTAGGCTGTCTTATTTGTATCTTTTGCTTGCAAAGTTCTTGCCCTATGATACTTAACTGTAAAGTGTTTTGAGATATGTCAATTGTGAAATTTAAATCATTATTAGAAGGAGATTTCTAGCACTTCTGTTTTTCTTGCAGAGTTATTGATGGCTTGGAGACCCTGGATGAGCTGGAGAAGCTGCCCGTGAATGAGAAAACCTACCGACCTCTTAATGATGTTCGCATTAAAGATATTACAATCCATGCCAACCCCTTTGCTCTGTAGCCACAGAGGCCTCAACACATTCTTTAGAGACTGGTCAGATCAACTCCCAGAACACGGGGTTTAAGGAGCCATTAAAAAGGGTTACTTGAGCTGGATCAAGTAAGTTCGCTCACAGAATGCATAATTTTCAGGAGCTGTGACATTGGTTTGGAGTTGTCAGAGAGTAACCTTGTGCTTCAGAAGGAGGGTTTTCCAGAGTATCATCCAGGATTTTGATTTTTAAGCATTGCTTTTTATACTTGTAAAATAATAAAAAACAAAACCACTAAAATATTTTTGCAAATCTTCGAGTTTTGCCTTATCTTTCTTAGTGATATTATGTTAAAGCAATGTTCTTTGCTATAATTTCATGCTACCAGTTTTCTTAAACTTTCTCATGTAAATTCTAACCTTCCTTACTTGGTTTTCTCAAAAGAGTAAAGTAAGATATGCAATTTTCTAGGTGAGAGCAGTGTCATAAATCGATGAAACCTTTCTTTCCCAGAGGATTAAAGAACATACTTAGAGAAGTGCTTGCTCTTGTACTGCTGTGTTGAAATGGCAACCTCTTCAACCTCCCAAAAAGGTATCTACTGCTTCTGGCACAGTGCTATAGCTATGAAAGGTATTTCTGTTAATATGTATGAAAGAGTAAGTATTTTCTTTACGTAGCTTTTAATTGAAACAAGAGAGGTGGTGGCTGGGACTGCACTGGCGTGTGTGCAGTGACAGCAGCAGGGCAAGCCAGGGCTAGTTGCATGTTAACCTCCAGACTTGAAGGCATCATTAAGAGCTAGTAAAAGATACCACATGGCGAAGTTTCTTTATGCCAGTGATTTGCAAAGATATCTTTTGTTAGTTATATGTGATCCTTTAAAACTCTCCTGATTCAAAGCTGACTGGGTACATGTAGCACATGCTTTTATAACTACTAACAATGTGTAAAGAGTAAAGAGACAATTAAAAGCTTTGTCAGCACGGGTGAGGAACGACCATTTCGCAACTGCGAGTCTCCCCTCACCCCCGGCCGCCATGTTCTCTCTGTGCCTTCTCCGGGCGGGGAGAAAATGGCCTCGGCCGCTCTGGCGGAGGAGGCTGGAGCCTTTCCCCGTGCCCCGGCTCGGCCCGAGCGCGGAGCCTCTGGAGCGAAGGTTCGGGGACCCGGCCCCGCGGGATCCTCCTGGCCGGGGGCGGGAGCTGCCCCGCTCCGCCCGCCCGGGGCCGCCTCCCCGCCGCCATCTAGACCCGCGGAGCCCGGCGGGGCCGGCCTGAGGCGTGGCCTGGGCGCGGGAATCAGTTCACTGCTGGAGAGGGAAATAAAAGACGGGTGGCGAATGAGTTCGCTTTTCCTCCGGGAGCCAAGCAGCTGCGAGATAACCAGAGTTTTACTGTCATTTTGACTTAGCATCAGGAATTCTTCGCGAATCTATAGAAGCAGTTCCTTTAAGTCTTTAAAAACCCAGTGGGCGGTAACTGTGTGCCCTTGTTAAGTACACAGAAACCTTTCTTTCTCCCAGGATATGCAGCATTGGGAGCTTGGGCAGCTTTGCAAAGTGTTGAGTGTCTGAGCCACGATGCGTCTTTTAATAAAATAGGTCCTTATTTTGAGTAGGTTACTGGTTTATGTTCCCCTATCAAAAACAGTTACTTTGAAAAAGCTATTGAATAAAAAAATATTGTGGAGGAAAGAGTGTGTGTGTGGGGGAAACACAACAAAAAAAATGGAAATTAAGGGTTGAGGAAAAATGCAGTCTTCATTATAGTGTAAATTTGATGATCAGTGGCTTTGAAAGTGAATTGTTTGTCTATGGGATGTAATTCAAAGAGTAAAATATCTTTGTTACAGTTGGAGAATTTCAGGCGAACTAATTGGCCTGACCGGGACAAAAGAAAAAGACCACTTTGCAGAAGGCACAACAATGCTGAGAAGAGAAAGTCCCACCGTTCAAAAGTGCACAGGACAAAATGTGCTGCAGACTTGATCTTTCTGAAACTCCTGACAGGTAATCAGCTTTTGGACTTCTGATATCAGCAAGCATGTGGTTTAAGATTTTATTATTCCCATCAGTTGATCTGCTAATGGATTAATTTTTGAGCTGGAGGTATTTCAAGAGAGATGTCTTACAGCTTAAAACAAAAAGCTGTCTTCATAGAGGCACTGGAATGAATTTAATTATGTTTGTTGGGTCATTTTTTTTGAAGTAGTGATTGAGAAACAGAATCTATAAATGAGAGAGGCTGTCCTCAAAAACGCAATTTTAAAGGATGCAGTCACGAGTCCAAGCAAGGATGTGACACTGGACATCAGAGTAGTCAGGGATCTGTTCTTAATGTGACAGTTGGTAGCAAAAGGAAATTCAAGGCATATTATACTAGTTGTCATCCTCCACAGGTGATATGACCAATTTTAATTTAGCTGGGTTTTTGGTTTGTTTGGGTTTTTTTATTTTATTTTTAAGAAAATAGATTCTCATCTGGGCAGTAGTAATTGAGTGTGGGAGGTTGGGAAATTCTATTGGTAATAGTTTATTCCTTTAGATCATATTAGTAGTTTATTCTTTTTTGTCGCAGCCCGAGAGCGGAGAAGGAGATGAGCGACACGAGGGTTCGATGAATTGTTGTTGATTTATTAGCAGTTGGAATACTCCCAGGGAAAAAGAAAGGGGCTCCCAGGAAGCTGCGACACCCTCTGGGGACAAAATGTCACTCTCCCTCGAGGGGAGAAGAGGGGTTTTTATAGGTTTAGGGAAGAAGGGACTAGAACAAAGGGAGGAGTTACATGAACGACAAGGGGTACAACCAATAAGAACTTTACAACCATAGCGCGCCATACTAATAACCAATAAGATAACAAGTTGCCTCAGCTATGCCCGCCTAAACTGCGGCACTAGCTGACCTATCGTAGCTAACCGATTTTCAACCAATCAGAAACTTGCAATTCGTGAGGGGAATAAAATCTTATAATATAATATAAATATAACTCTTATAATAAATATTAAATACGTTAAATACTATTAAAACTGTCCATAAATATCCGGATAAATAAAGTCCATGTCCGTGGCAATAAATAAAGAGTCCTTTTAGTATTTCTTGTAGGCTTCTTTCTATCGGTAAAAATCCTTTCTTCTCTGTGCCTCCGCATCTCCCCCTTTTTTATCTTTTTGAACGTAGATGGTCTCGTAGTCGGGTGGGCTTGTTTGTACTTGTGCAACATTAGCTTTTGGAAGACAGTACCTTTTGGAAATAGTAACTAAACATGACATTAAACATAACACAACTATGATTGAAATTAAAATTGAAACACAAACCAAAAGTATTTGCCTTGCCCAATTTGGAAGTGAAGGCCACTTCAGACCTTCGAATATGTCTGGAGTGTGCCATTTGGGATCTTGTCTTAATTTAGAGACTAATTCGTGGATTGTATTGATGTTTGCCTGAATTGATTTTGAATGATCTGAAAAATTTAGACAGCACAGGTCGGTGAATTCCTGACATCCATGATAATGTAGGACCAGTAAAAAATCTATAGCCGCACGATTATGTAAAGAAACTCCCTTCAGTGTTAGTGTATCTTCTAATAATCCTTGGAGTGTGAGTGAGGTGGCATTAGTTTCCTTCGCCATCCAGCAGGTCATGTGGCTTAAGGTGGTAAGTGCATGATCAGATGCTATGCCTGCAGCAAAGAATGATATCCAAAAATCCTTACTGCTAGGCCATAGCCACACTGAAGGATCACAGTTTTGAGATACGGGTAAGTAGTCCTTCAGTGAAGATGGTGTTGGGTTGGATGGCTCCTGCATTTCCTTAGATTGTAATATTGGGAATTTAGAGTTGCCAATATCCGAATTACCAAAATTTATATGAAAATTTGACAATTGAAGGCGTGTGAGAGAGTTAGGAAATGCCAAAGGACTGTTATTGCCATTGATTGCTGTTATGGGAGTAGCGGCATTTGTCTTTTGTTCGGATGAGAGGTAGGTGTTGGGTTTGTGTGGATAGGAGTCTCAGGCAAGCGGATATTCCTCTTTCTCCCTTCTGATAATTTCCGCTGCCGAGGAGGTCATAATTTGTCTTTTGGTTTTAGTGCGTATACCAGGCTGGACAACTTTTGATTTTACTTCTCTGGGTATGCTAAAATTAAGTGGATGGAACAGAGTGATTTTTCCTGTTGTGCATGGACCTCCCATGGGATTAGCTGGGATTCCATTCCATGCCCTCTCACCGCAAATTAGGAAGTCCCCAGGGTGTAATTCTCTTGGATGTGTCATAAGTCCTACCAAAATTTTTGTTGGTGTGGTGCCATTACACCATAGTGCTGTGTTTTGATAGATGCCCTTTTTTGAGATAACATCTAGTAATTTGTTTTTAGAGACATTGACCTTTGGTACAAATGTCATGCACGAGCTTGTTATAGCTGTGCCTAGTAATTAGAATTCAATTATGGGCTTATTTGTTTTTGGTGGATTTTTATAGGCATCTAACATTTTCTTACTTAAAGGAACTCCAACTAAACATGTGGAAAACGGATTAGCAACATTATTTGTGGCCAGGCAAATGGTATCGGTATTGGCCTCTTTTGCTAACTGCACCCAGATGTTTTCCCCTTGTCCCATGGACCAAGGTGGCATTTTTACTGAAGGGGGACATACAACCTGCTTCATGACCAGCAACATTACGGCGATGACACTGATGACACTGTGTCCTCTTGACGAGAAGGAGAGTTGTGAGTTTTCTTGGAGGATCCACAATTCTTCCAGCACCTGTTAAAATACGATCACGACCCTTCCCCCAAATGGTTAGAGGGAGGGGTCCTGCCCACCTTTCCTTTAATGCATGGCATAAAACATGACAGACAAGAAGGAAAAGAAACTTTGTGCTTTAACTTAGAGGACTTGGGGGGTAAAGGGTTACCGTGTACATCAACAACAGATCGACAGTCTTTTGTCCAATGCCTGCCTTTTTTACATCTCTGACACACTGTTTTAGGGAAGGTAGGTGTATTAGGTGCTGACTGAGAACATAGTTGTGGACAATGTTTTTTCAAGTGACCTCTTTGACCGCAATTAAAACAAGCATTTGGTCCCGAAAGAGCTGCTGCCATTAATTTAGCTTTGTGTGTATTAGAATTTATATATTTGCAAGCCTCGATCATTTCGAATAATGTCGGTTCTTTTAAATATTTCAAAGCATGCTGACACTCCTGATTAGCATTCTCAATTATTAGCTTTTTAAATAAAATTTCCTGTGACTCTTTCTGTTGGACCTGCTTGTTTATTACCTCTTTAAGACGAGTGATAAAGTCGACAAAGGGCTCATCCTGACCTTGCCTAATTAGGGTGAAGGAAGGTGCAGATGCATAAGCATCGGCAACCTTTTTGATTGCTTGTAGAGCAAGGTCATGAGAGATATTTAAATACTGTCTTTCAATTGTGACCTGAGACTCTCTAGTCAAAAATGCACCTTCACCATACAGCATGTTTTTATAGTGGTCAGGAGGGCTCCTTTTATTAGACAGTTTGTCAGTAACATATTTACCAATTAGAGATTTCCATTCATTTTCAAAAACTGAATTTTGAACCGCTGTCAGTAAGCCATTAGTAATCATACGCACATCATATGGGATTAGTGTATATGCCTGAAACATAGAGTCAAATAAACCAGGGGTGAACGGAGCACCCAAACCATATTCCGCAATAGCTTTTTTAATGTCCTTCAATATCAGGTAGGAAATCGGTGTCCACTGAGGTGTAGGCCCTTCGTCAAAATAAATTGGGAAGGCTTTGAGGAAATCTGTGTCTCCTGCCTGAAGCGCTTGGGCTTTACAGTCCTTCCATACATCGGCATGGGATACTAGCCGCGATGTACAGGCCTCATGCCGATCATGGGCGCCGCCATGTTTCCAGATGTTTTCGGCGGAACTGGCCTTGACACCATCTTGTTTCCGCCCCTCGTGACTACCGTAGAGTGACATAACCGAGGGGGAGTGTTCAGGGGAGGAGTCTACAGTGGGAGGGTACTTTGGGCGTGGTCTAGGGATGACGCAACTAGATGTTTACCGCGCCGTGCTATGACTCCGCCTCCCTCCCTCAGGGTCAGCGCCATTTTGTGGCGCAGGTGGGCAGTAGGACCCAGTGGATTTCCCTTTGCCGCTTCGCCTTTTAAGTGTCATGTCATAGTCCGGGTAATATCGGTGAGGGGATCGAGGAGGAGAAATTGAATTCTTTTTCATCCTTTGGTCCTGTAGGACCATCAGAACATTCCTCCAAGCCTCCAACGCCGAACTCACTCCCGCGACTTTATTATTTTTGTCAGTCCATATATAAAATCCAATTTCATCCCAATCAGTCAAATTAAAAACGTGAGGGACTTTTTCTTGTCTGTTGTCAAGCCATTTCACCAATAGCTTTAAAGATTTTTTTATCTGGCAACTGGCTGTGCTTCAAAATCAGCGTTTTCCGGTGCCGGTATTTTTCGCGCTCCGTGGTAGAGAACCGCGCACCTAATTTTTGTCAAGGGGGGATTTGGAAACGGGGAAGGGATTAGGACTACCCCAGCTGCTCACCTTCCTCTGCCGGCAGGTGAAGGTGTGGAGGGGACGGCAACGATCCGTAGTCCTTGTTGCCCGCCATTCAGCTGGGGGTGGCTGCCAGGTAGATCACCACAACACCGGGTCTTCTGTATCCCAACTGAGGACTTCGGAGTTCCCTCAATATGAGAGAACTCTACAAAGCCTCACGTGTTGGGCGCCATATGTCACAGCCCAAGAGCGGAGAAGGAGATGAGCGACACAAGGGTTCGATGAATTGTTGTTAATTTATTAGCAGTTGGGATACTCCCAGGGAAAAAGAAAGGGGCTCCCGGGAAGCTGCGACACCCTCTGGGGACAAAATGTCGCTCTCCCCCGAGGGGAGAAGAGGGGTTTTTATAGGTTTAGGGAAGAAGGGACTAGAACAAAGGGAGGAGTTACATGAACCAATAAGAATTTTACAACCATAGCGCGCCATACTAATAACCAATAAGATAACAAGTTGCCTCAGCTATGCCCACCTTTAAACTGCGGCACTAGCTGACCTATCGTAGCTAACCGATTTTCAACCAATCAGAAACTTGCAATTCGTGAGGGGAATAAAATCTTATAATATAATATAAATATAACTCTTATAATAAATATTAAATACGTTAAATACTATTAAAACTGTCCATAAATATCCGGATAAATAAAGTCCATGTCCGTGGCAATAAATAAAGAGTCCTTTTAGTATTTCTTGTAGGCTTCTTTCCATCAGTAAAAATCCTTTCTTCTCTGTGCCTCCGCACTTTTTTGCTAGGATTGTATTTCCTTCCGTGAAAATGTAGTTTGTACATATGCTTGTGATATCACAGAACATGGTCTTGCTATTTGTTCACTGAATATATTTGAGCAGATTAATGAACAATAACCATCAACTGGAGTACTTGAAATACAAGCATCATTTTCATGACTTCTCTAATTTTTTATTATTTATTGTTTATTTATGCTCTACTCAAAAATCCAAGGGAAAGCTTCTAAACTTGATTTTGACTAAGTATGACTGAAATACAGAGGTTGTAATGTCAGACTTACTTTTCTAAGTATCAGTGAGAAATGTGTAGAATCGTATATGAATGATGTCTGTCCACTAGCAGGGTGGTTTTTCTGATCTTTTTTTTTATATTTAACTGTTAAAGCTGAAGATTGGAATTGTCAGTTAAGATCTTCAACTAAGACACTACAAAGTAAATGTATATGGTATTTATGATTTTAAAAAATGACTTCTTGCCAAATACTCTTATAAGTGATTTAATCTTGATTGCTTAAGATGAGTATTTTGGCCACAAGGCTATTTTATATACACATATATATGTGTGTGTGTGTGTGAAAGATAATTATTAAATGTTTGTTTAAGAAAAAAGCAGGGACCCTGAAATAATGAAGTAAAATTCAATGAACCAGTCTCTTAAAAGAAAAGCAATTGTAATTTTTTGCTGTCTTGCTACTCACATGCTAACTTCACAGCTTATGACTGAGAGTTCTTTCCTTTATACATGACATTATTGCCGTTTTGGGTAGAGGTACTTCTGGAGAAGTGGAATGCATCAGTCACACAGTGTAAGTCTTTCATTAAATACATGTAATTTTTCTTATCAGTGCTGTCACAGTGGGTTCATAAAGTGCTTGCTGATTGCATAAGGGTTTATCTTTACATCTTTGTACACTGTAAAGTATTTCTTTGCGGCTGCCACAGTTCCCAAACACAAATTTATGTTACTACACCATGCTGAAAGCAGCACAGATGGTTGTGCAGGACTGGTGGCTGAGGCAGTGACCTATTAAGAGGACGAGGGCTGATGGAAGTAGGTGATCCAGACAACGTGGGGTGAAGCTGCACCCCCCACACCCCAGGCCTGTGTAATGAGGAATTGGCATCATGTAGCTAATGTAAAGCTTAGTCTGTGGTGATGCAATGCCATTTGAGTTCTGTCAGTGAGTCTGTTGTAAATGAGGAATGTATTTTGTGTTTTATGGCAGTTTGGCTATGTGCAAGGTAGTAGGCAGCAAGGTTGTCTTTCTAGCCACTGTAGAAGGCACCTGACATCTCAGTTAACATTTTTAACGACTGGTTACTTTTGATTGATAGTTGTGTAAGGCTGCAAGATGTGGAAGTTCCTCCAGTATTAGCCCAGCATACATAAATACAGTGGGGAAGTAGGTGGGACTTCTAACCTCTAAAAACAATACTGATATATATGGGATCAAGTATGTTTTCAGAAATTAAATGTGAAATTTTAGTTGTATTTATGCATAGATGAACTTTGGTTATATTGTCAGCATGTACCAAAAAACCCCAACCTTTTCTGCTAAGGTTGCCATTGTTATAAACAATGTATATCTGCATATTCTTAGTTAAAACTAGTTGCTGTTCCAATCACTGTTAGACCTGTCTCTTCAGAAGAGGCAAACGTAGCTGTGAAAACAATCAAAAATTATGGTGGCTGCTCTGATGCAGCTTATGAAGTCCTAGTACTGGAATATTTACAGGCACTGGATCCCAGCAGTACACTGTGAGTATAGAAAGCCACCTTTTACTTTGTTTTGGCTTTACGATTTCTGTGATGTCATTTTCTGTATCATGGGACAGATGTGTCTCAGCACTAATAGGACTGTCGCAAATCATGTCTTGTAGTCACTGTGCCCAGATGCTGGAATGGTTTGAGTACTACAGACGCATATGCATTATTTCTGAGCTCATGGGACTCAGCACCTCTGAGCTGCATTGAAAAGAACTGCTCTCTGCCATTTAAGCTGGATCACATTAGACAGATGGCACATCAGACCCGCAGATCTGTGAACTGTAAGTATGTTTCCTTTTTACTTTGTTATGTGAATCAAAATTTTCTTTCAGAGGTGCGGCAGCAAAGAACACCTGGCAGTGATGAAGCAAATGCTGCAGCCTTTGCTGTATCACATGATAAAAGAAAAACTGGACTGGTCTAGTTTAAATATTTTCAGATTAGGTTTAAGAGCAAACTTTTTAAAAAAAATAACCATGGAGTCATCCTTGTGCTGTATTTAACAAGCTTGTGGAATATTCCCAGATCAATTCCCAAGTTACTAGCAAACATCTGGTAAACTTCTACTGAAGGGACAACACAGAATTTTGAATAACAGACTATGTTCTGTTTGTTTAAGGAAACGCAGATGTTTCTGTGCTGGCCAGCTGGATTGGGATGAAGAGAGTCCTGCTGGCAGATATGTACCAACCCACTGTAAGCCACTGAAGGTGAGACGGGGGAAATAGTTTTGAGGAGAGGAGCTTCGAGTGTAATTAAAAGATAAACAACAGAGCTTTTTTTTTTTTTAAATTTTCATTAATGAATTCATAATGATGTGCCAGGATTCTGACCACAAAGAACCTCTTTGACCTTGTTCAGAAGATGCTCAAGTATGACCCAAACAAGCGCATTACTCTTAAAGCAGCACTGCAGCAGCCTTTCTGCCCACACATGCCGAAAAAGGGTGCAGGCTCCTGAAGCCAAGCAGGCTGACTCACAGGGCAGTGCACCAAAGAAACCTGCATGTCACAGACTACTTATTACTTGGTTATTTTGTAAATACTTTATGTTGTAAATGCTTTGCTTAGTAGTATGACTTTCTGGATACTTAGGTTTAATCCAGCTGTTGACATCAAACTTACTTAGTATACAGTAAACTGGTTATGTTTTCTCATTAAATCAAACTTGTGGGACACTGGCACTTTTAACATATGGAAAAGAGCACCCTAACACCAAGAAAGTATTATTTTAATTATGTTTTATTCAATGGTCCTTGAAATAGCAGAAGACCTGCTTTTTTTAACCCTTTAGTGTCACTGTTGCATTCTTTTTGGATAAGGAGCAGAAACATCCCTTGATATTGTGTAAGGATGGCCTTTATTTGCTTTAAAAAAAAAAAGTTACAAAGTAAGGAAGATCACTGTAGTACTGAACAGATTGCATTGTGATGACCAATTTTTTCATTATTTTATTAGGTGTACTCTGGTTACCAGTATTTCAGTTAATGCTCACTTAGCTTACAACAGTATAGACTTCACTCTTTGACCCAATCTTTCTGAATTGAACTGTCCTGAGAATTCCCATTAGGAATTAAGGTTTCAGGGAGCAGATAAGCTGTTCGGTTTAGCATGTCAACTGCCAGCATAAAAGAATCTTTAAACTGCATTTACAGAGCAGCACAAAGAAGCTGCCCCCCCTGCCCCATCCCTGCCAGCATCGTCCGGCTCGAGAAAGCTGTATATGGGACAACACTGCTTGTACTTCCATGAGGGAAGGGGAAAGGCGCCCCCACAACTGATGCTCAGCTGCAAGGGTGCCTGACAGCCCCTCAGGAACACAGGCCACCAGCTGTGACAGCCAGCAGGCTCAGAGATGCCACTCTTCATGCCCTACAGAGTTACCAATCACTGCCACCACTACAGCTTCTCTCCAGTAGCTTGCAGGGCTGGGGCACCCACCTCACCCTGCAGCTGAAATAGAGGATTGCTTTATGCTGGAAGTCTGGTAAAGGGATGACAAAGTACTTGGGGACATGGACAGCCACTGATGAAAGGGGCTAGTTGGAGTAAGTGTTACAGACTGCAGTGCCACACAAGCCACGGTCTCTTCACTTGGAGGCTTTTTACAGTTTAATTTGCAAGCAGAACTGCCCTGTCTCATTCACCATATCACATCTACTCCAATACAGATAGAAATCCCAAGGGGTAAGGTGGATTTAACTGTGGAAGGCCTTAAATGACATTATTACAGTAGAAAATACAGGAGGTAGAAGGTAACTGAAAGGACAAATGCAGGTTAGAGTCAAATCTATAACAGCTCCAGTAAGCTACTTGAACATGGTTTTAAAAACTAAATCCAGTATTTCAGTAACTATAGAAAACAGTTAAAATAAATTGCCATGAGAGCCCTTATATCATGCTTGATACAGGGAGGTAGGATGTAAGAATCAGAAGGACACATGAGACATGATGCTTATCTACAGCTCCTGTTTGCTTTACTGAGGACAGAGTTTCACAGGTCAGTCACCTTCTTCAGCTTCAGACTCCGACTCTGCAACAGAGACACCTCGTCAGCAGCCTGCCCACAGGTCAGCCCCAGCCCCAAGCTCACTGCTGCCCTACGTCCTGCATTAAAGCTGCTATTGGATCCACTTGGATTTCACAGGCAAGCTTTTCTAGCCAGTACCAGGGTAGGGGACACTCTTGTCTTTAACATCCCCACCCTCAAACACACGATGTTATTGAACCAGGGTTCCCAAAACGAACAAGCTCCACTTGTGAGCTAAGCTGCTGCTCACCTTCTTCAGCATTCTTGAGCCATTCAACAAACTTTTTCATCTGCTCCAGAAAAACACTCTTTCCTTTAGCAAGATGTGCATCTTTGTACCACTTCAAGATGGGTTCTTCACTCAGAACTTCAGCTGTAGGATGTGCAAGAGCAGCGTTAACACAGCAAACTGCTGAGAACCCCCGACTGGCAGCCTTTGCTTCCCCCGCTAGGAGCATCATGTTCTCCTTCTGTGGGTCCGGCTGGACAGACCTGCACTAGGAGTGGCTCCTGTTTTAAAATTATGAGAGCTGTGCATTTTGGGTTGGCTGCTGGGATTCTCCTGAGCACTGCATCTAGGAGCTGCACTTTCACTCCCACTAACAGTCTGGGGTATTTCAGTTACTTGAGATGGCACACACTCTAAGGAAAGTTTCAGTTAACAGCCAAGAACAGATGCAAATTCTTTAAAGTCAAGGGTACACCACAGGAAGTGTTTAGCCTTCTTTAAAATGTTACAATATAATCTTCAGTTTAACAAGTTTCCACAGGTGCACAACATGTTTTTCAGTAACACCTTTAATCAGACATTTAAAAAGAGAGCTTGGAACACCCCAGAACATGGTGGTGGTCTCCATCTATGGCTGTTCACAGTCAATATTAAGGGCACTAAGAAGAATACACTGTCATGTATCTTTCCCTAACTTAAAAGGGACAAAGTGCCTTAAAATAAAAATTTAACTTTCTTTGAACTATTACAATTCTTGAATAGATCTGCAGTAGACAGGCAGCATCTTTGTCTAGAGGTGTACTTCCCCAAGTCCCAAGGACCAGCCATATGCACCTTTGCATTTTACTGCTCCATTTTTGCAAACAGAAGGTAGAAAATTCTTCAGCTCATGAAGTGCAGTGTTGTAGCACTGATCTTCCCTAGAAGACTTAGGAGGACTGAAGCATTCTGCTTTAAAAGCTTCAATACATCCACCCAACCAAAACAACCCCCAAAAAACCCCCAAAATTCCTAAACTGCAATCCCCACAAAAGTTACCTTTATAGAAGAGCACCACTATTTTCTGGAAGGCCTTCATGAAGTGAATGTTGTCATAACAATACTCCTGAATCTTCAACAGAAGAGTCAGCTCTGACTGACCTTGGGTGGTGAAGGCAGCAAGTAGAGGGCTGTATTGCTGTAACAAGAACAACAAATTGGCACACGCTGAACACTTCACATGTACTGCCTGACTAGGCTGGTTTCGCACAGTCCCCATCAGCCACTGTTTAAGAAATCTGCAACCACTGCCCCACCCCAGAGTGCTCCTGCAGCAGCCGTGCTGCCTCTGCCCCAGGAACCTGGCCTGTAATACTCCCTGCAATACAAGGGGAAGAATTCCCCACCTAATGCTGTCTCTGCGTTAGCAGGGCTGTTACAAGGCTTTAACAATTAAAAGGGAGCTGGAGACAGAAGGAAGCCCAAGCTCTACCCAAGGGGTGCAGAAGTTCATACTGAAGTTACAGTACCTTCAAATGCTTAATGGCTTGCTCTGCTACCAGCTCCTCTTTTTTGTTCCATTCCACCGTGCTCATTACACTTGACCAGATTATGGTTACCACAGTCTGTTCCGAGATGTTGTTTTTCTTCATCTCCTCCTTCACGTACAAGATGATCTGCCAGTTAAGTAAGAGTCAGCACAAAGACCACATATGGCACCAAGCTAAATTAAAACTTCTCTTCTGAAGGTAACCCAGAAGGTTTCAGAACCACACACAGCCTCCTTCACCATACAGCAGAGTTCAGGACATGAAGGAAAGACTACAAAGCTAATACCAAAACCCCTGGGCCTAATTGTGATTCCCGGTGATAGCTAAGTTCAGGATGAAAGACAGACAGACACACAGAAAGCACCTTCACCTCATCTCCAGACATATACTTACATCCTTGAACGGATCTCCCCGTGACATCTGCTCCTGCAGTTCCTTTTGCAGCTCCTTCCGAGCTCCTATGGATTGCTGGTTCCGAACATACTCAGAAAGTTCTTTTAGTCCTGCTTCAGTGAAGTACTTGGAGAAGTGTTCAACACTTTGTTTGTTGGCTGGGAAGAGTTCCTGAAAACAAAGTTTACAATTCTTTTGTGAAAGAAATGTCCGTTGAGTACCTTGCTGGCAAATGCTATTTACTAAACTGGCTAAGTAGTAGGAGAGTCATTTCAATGGTACTCACCATCAGCCTATTATCCATGTTTACTTTGCGAAGACTGACAGCCACTGCATTAATATCTTTCTCGTTTATCCATGATTTGAACAGCTTGACTGCAAAAGCTGCAGAAACACCTGTGCAATAGGAATAGTACTGGTTTTAGTGAAATTCAGAACAAAGGGAATCGTAAGGCCTGAAAGCTCAGGGCACCTAGTCTGTCAGACCCCTGCTCAGAGCAGCAGCAGTTGTGCTCCCAACATCCCTAGCACAGTCTGCAGTACCTCACTCTGCCTGAAAATACTGCAGCCTCCAGCACACTGGGCTACTCCTACATTCAGCATCATGAAGTCTTCCCTGTATAAAACCAACTCTCCTTGCTGCAATTTAGGAAGAAACCTGAAGACATGACACACCTTTTGCACCCTGAAAAGTCCCTCTCCAAAATACAGGACTGCCTCGCTGGGTGACACTAGTGATGGCAGTCCCCAGTGTCACACAGGGAATTCCTACACACAAGCTTTCTGAAAAAACTCATTTCTGAAGTCTCTCACATTGTGGGGCAGCACGTTTACCTTTGCTAATCCTGAAGTTAATCTATCACCAGGTGAAGGCAGAGAGCTGCAAGGGTACCTACTTGTCATGGTTCTGTCCCCCAACATCTTTCCCTAAAGGAGGAGTTGGGCAACACTTACCTTCTTTAACCAAGTTCTCATTGTAAAGACTGTTGAGAATCGATGCATTCAGCGTCCCATTGGCCAGCAGAATACCCGTCAGCATGGCCAGTTTGTTCCGCTCAGATTCTGAGAACCCTTTCAGGAACAGCAGCAACTGCAAGAGAAAGTAAGAAGAGTTGCCCCAAAACTCCTATCTCTCACTAAACTTTGGACACTGCCTCTGTGTTAAACACTTCTGTTTCAATCAAACTGTTCATTAGCAGAAGCACTGGTAGTCTTCACTACTGACAACAGCTAGCTGTTCTTTTGTTAGAAACTTAGAAGTGTTGTATTTTAATAATCCACTTTATGCTGTGACTCTTCTACAGTGATGAACTAACAAAATTTGAAGGTTTATTTGTCTGCTGCTAAAGACATACTCCGTACCTTTTTGACTTCATCCTCAAAGCCTTTCTCCAGGTATTTGTAACGCCTGATGAGCTTGTTAAAAACCTAAAAAGACACAGAACTTATTGTTTTGCGCTCTACACTATCATTCAATTACAGTTTTAAAAAAACAACCAAGTTCAGTAAAGTAGGTCTGAACTCTACAAAGCACTTTTAGAACAGTGCTACTCTTAGCACTTCCAGTGTGCTTCTTAAAGCTACATTTATTATTCTTACCCAAACTTTCAACTACACAAACATTAAATTTTTGACCACTAAACAGTTTCAAGTTAAATTGTACTCATTTCAGAACTAACCTGAGCAAATGCTTGCATGGTTTCTAGGTCTTCCTGTGCTGCAAATACACAGACGTTTGTGCGTGTCATGTCGTCTGCCAGGGTACCACCTGGGGCTGGGGGAGGATTTCACCATTAGTAGTGTTACTCCACAGTGGGAATACTGAGTAGTCTCCACAGTAAGAACTCCAATACCCAAAACATGCAACACGTTGTCCTTTCACAATGCTGAATGACCAGACCACTGAAGATATCCCTGTATTTCCATCTGTTCCACTGCTGCAGTGGAACTTTAAAATCAGTAACTTAGATTTGAATATTTAAGTATTCTGGCCCCCTACTGCTAAGCAAACTGGCAAAACATCTTGTTAACACATGAGTAAGTTAACATAGCCATGTGAGCTCCTCTTCCCTTAAAGGGAGCCACTGAAGCTGCTTCATCCTAGCAAGTGTCTCTAGTGTCTGCAGCAACAGTGCTGCTTTGTAAGTGCCTTTTACAGTGAGTCACAATAGGAGACTGAAACATGTAGAGATGCACGTTCAAAATTCAGCACCCCAGAGAGGAGTTTGAAATTTGAGGTATTTTTAGGCTGCTTCACTAATGAAAGTGCATTCAGGCCACCAACTTCACTGCCAGAACACCTCATCATCGATTTCGATGCCATCCTGCATTCAATGGAGATCCTTTTGTTATGTTATTAGCGCAGATACATGACTTTAAAAACACTTCATTACACAGTATGCACTGGTTAAGACTCTTAAATGTAAAGTCCCATATCATAACAATTACAACCTGTTAGGTGAGCAGCTGTTCCTCTTTGCTCTTTACACACGTGCACATGAGCTCACAAGACTTTTTGTCATCACATGTCACTTTCTCAGTTCCCTTGTTTTCTGCTGACTCAACCATTCTCATTTCTCACTCCCTGATGTCTGCTAGAGCCCATAACCTTACTGCTGTCAACAACAAATGATTTGTAATAGCATTTCCAAGACTAACCACTTCAGATTCTTCTGTAAACAAGTTTCCTTTCCAAAATAAGAGGGCAGGATGCACAGAGCACAGGATGATGTCAGAATCTTTCAGGGCAACTCCACTGGTCTTATGACCACAGAATACACACCTGAAAGAAGCATTCATCCACCTCACACCTTCAAAAGTGAACCTGACTAAAGAGTCAAGACCTACTCCTGGTAAAAAAAAACACCAAAAAACCCAACAAAAAACAACCAGACACACAACCAATCAACATAAAATGCCAAACAATCCAATATATCTTTCTTTAAGCCAAATTTGTACAATCTGTGTTTTGAAGAATGCAAAGAGACTCAAGTAAAATTGTAGGAGGGTATACAGAGCATTTCTATAGTAACTGCTTAGTCACCAAGACGGTCAGATAGTTTCCCACAGATAACTTAAACCCTGTTCTACACACTGAGTGCGCTCTTCAGCACAGTTTTTACACTGAAAGAAAACTGAGCTTTTGCAGTCATGTGAATAAAGCTGACAGCAGCCACATCAGAGGGACTTACCCAGCATTCCACCAGCCACCAGGATGTCAAAAAGTGTTTCTGCATAGCGGCGATAGTCAAGTTTTGCACCAGAAGCATCAAGAAACTTCGCTACTGCTTCCAAGTCAGTGCCAGTTTCACTTAGACCTTGAATAATACAGTCCTGGAACTGAGTAGGGTCAAACCTCTCTTTTTCATCTGTAAAGAGAAAGTGTTATTATTAAAAAAAAAAAAAAACTAAACCAAATTTGCACTGACAAACCAGAAAACTGTATTAAGTAGCACAAATAGTGATTTAACTGCATAGCCTGAAATGAATTTCAATGGCCAATACAGCAGTGAGGAGTCTTACTACTTTCACTCCCCTGTTCTGTCAAGGCTAGGAGAAAGGCTACCAAAAGCCAGAACATTGCTTAGTTACTTTTAATTGAATATTTTCAGAGCAGTTGTTCAAAATGATCATTGCTTGGCTCTAATAAAGCTTACCTGTCTTAGTTTGATTCTTATACACCCCCTGCCATGTTAGATCACTCTTTCCCTCCAAAACAAGAGATTTAGCTCATGCTGGAAAGCAATTCTTAATACACACCCCGACAGTTTTGTACTTTTTACTCCATTGCTATGTTTCATTTCAGCTCTTTGGGACTCTCACTGTTTTGGAAGAAATACTCTGACAAGCCGAAGTTAAGAGTCATTTGACAGTGTTCACTTCTCAGCTAAGAAGACCATCCCCTCCTTATAACATGGAGTTAAATGAGTCTGAAGTAAGTGCTTTTCCTCAAGTGCCTGAGGGAAACGTAGACATATGAGCTAACTTAATGGGCTATAACTGCAGATCTGCTTAGCATCCTTTGTTGTTGTTAAAGCAGAACAGTCTTCATATCTGAGATACATCAGCTGATCACTGCCTTGTTTTCACTACAGGTAGGGCATACTCAATATGCAACAAATCCATCTGTGTAACTAAGTGAAAACCTTTAACAGAAGTAGTCTTCGATTTTACTCATCTGTTTATCCTTAGATTATGCAAACCATGCATTGAGAAGCTTCCAAAGATACAGAACTTAGCTGCAGAACATGTTATTTTGAGTGCTGACTACAACAGCTTAGGCACTTCTGGTGGGTTAGCAACCTAACTGGGCATACTGGTGTCCTAGTGTCCATGCAAGTTATCAACACACTGGGAACAGCTGGGTGGCGGTCTGGAAATACTGGATCAGTTATCTTCCAGGACAAATCCACAAAGCTCATTGTTCCAGCAGTTGCTTGGAAAACAAACTATGGTTAAACGCTTAAAAAGAGACTAAAAGCCAAGCCATTAGCATTTCTTCTGCTGGACAGATTCAAAAGTCACTCAAGAGTTTCTCAAGGGGCTTTGACATTAAAACAGGTTCTGTACATCAAAGCGTACTTCTGTACGTGCAGCATCCTTGAAGCTGCCTGTCTGAGCTGGAACACTGCTGGTATCCTAGTAAAACAGTATTGAACCGAAACTCTAAGAGCTGCACCCACTTCCTCGATGGGTTTAAAAAAAAACCTCACCAAAATACTAAGTTATTCATTGCACCTCTGCAGTCATTAACTCTTCATATGGAAGTAACTGTGCTCCTATATAGACAGACATTTGCACATCCCACACCTTGGGCTTTTTTTGGATGTTCAATGGGGAGCGAGTCTGTTTGTGTGATTTTGTTGTGGTTTTTTTTCTGTCAGTTTTTTTAAATTAGGTATTCTTGTAACATTAAGGGACAATGTAACTTTTATCCAGTGGTTAGGACTGAAATTCTTATGATGTTAGATGCTCTTCTGATGTACATATAAACCTGCAACAAGCCTGTGCTGGAGCTCCCCTGTAATTCCAGGTTATCAGATACTTCTGCTTTCAGGCTAAGTACACTTTGTACGGTTCCAGAATGATCGTTTTCCTAAGCCAGGCTTAGCACAGTAAATTCAGCAACAACTCTTACTGCCAAATATGTTTTATTAGTGCAGAGAACGCTGCAGCACCCAGAGTCAGCCTCCAGACTCTGCGCTTGGCGTGCTCTCACTTGAAGGAGTTCTGAGAAGAGCACTAAGGCACTGGTTTGTTTGCGGTCACAAACCGATGTTTCACCGACCGCACGGCGCCGGCGGCCGGTCCTGGCAGCGGGCACGGCGCGGGCACTCACCTCTTTTTCTGGTTTTAAAACGCTGGCCCGATAGTGTCGGCTTCTGCGGCTTTTGATTATTCATAAAAGACACCCTGTAAGGAAGCAGAGACACCCTCAGGGTACTGGCGAAGGGGCCGTGCCGCTCCCGGCCGGCGGCGCTGGGCGGCGCGGGCGGCGCCGGCTCCCGGCACGCACCGGGCTGCGGGCGGGGGCGGCGCGGGGCGGGGCCGGGCCCGCCACGGCGCCTCTCGCCCCCCGTCCCCGCCGCACAGAGCCCGTGGGGGGGTCCTTGTGGCCACCGCGCTCCCGGTGCCCGTGCGGGGGCGGACGGAGAAGGCCCGGTCCCCTCCCCGCCTCCACCCGAACGCACCGTGGCGCGGCCCTCAAGGCCCGACCTGCCCCAGCCGGCCCCGCCGGCCGCCCCCCGCCCGCGCCCGTCTGCTCACCGACTTTAAGGCAGAGAGAAAACGCCCGAGCGGCCCGGAGCGCAGACGGGCGAGAGCGGCGGGGAGGAGCGGCGGCAGCGGAGAGAGAGCTGTGTGAACGGAACCGACGCCAGAGGAAGAGGGGAGGGCCGCGCTCAGCCCCGCCCCGCCGGAGAGCATGGAGGGTAAAAGGGCGGAGATGGGGGCCGGGCTCCTCTGGGGCCGCCCTCCCTGCCCGGTTGGTTCTCTGGCCGCAAGGGGGGCCCCGTGGGGTTTTCGTGGTTGAGCGCGGGCACAGAAGGAGCGCCGGTGGAGTACCGCGTCCTGCGGGGCACTGGGCTCTAATGCCGGGTTTGCTGTTCTATTTGATCCTGGATTTGCTACTGGAGTTGTAATAATCTCCTCTTTCCTCCTATCCTGGTGATAACATCATCATATAAACACTTGACATAGAGTAGACAGTGCAGACGGAATCACCAGTTAAAAGCTGCTCACATCTGACACACAACAAAGTCCCTGAGTTCCAGAAGCGCAGGCCTTCTCTACTGGCGTTAAGGCACAGGATCTTCCACTAGCAATTGCGATAACAGGTGCCATCATATCTTCAGGCCGAGGGGCAGTTTGTGTCCATTAGCAAACAGCATAAACAAACCCTGTGTTAGTGAAGGGCCTGTAAGTACTGTCTAAAAAACATGCTGCCGAACTCACACAGCAACACATAACTGGAGACACACACAGCACACTGCCCATGCTGCTGTAGGACGGGAGATGGAACTCAGTTCTTTGCTCCCCAAAAGGCCAAACCAGTAAACTAGCCTAGAGATCACAAGCTTCCTCACACAGCAGCAAATCTCCACCAGGTGTAAAGGATAATGTACCTGTGACTAAAGCTCTTGCAGTGACCAGTTAGCAGGTGCATAAGTGGAATACATCACTTTGCCTCAGGAGTGGAAAGTGGAGTCATTCTTATTGTCAGTAGGAGCCAGATTTCGTCTCATACCATCTTTGTTACTATTTATTTCTTGAAACAAAATTGGCTATAGATCCCAGTGTTACAAAATAACAGGACAGCCTTACAAGTTTGCTTTTATTCAAGAAACATTTTTACAGATTCCAGTTAACAGCCCAATTAAATTCCCAAAATACTACATTCAAAAATACCCTAAGAGTATTTCAGAGGAAGGGTTTTCACCTTAATATCGGCAAATATTTGACCATTCATTCTAAACCCAAGACACTTCGGTACTCATTCTAAACTGAGTGGATTTGTCTGAATCACAATTAAGTAAAAAGCCAAGAAGATATATCAGAAATTATTAAAATTGCATTTCATGGAAAGGAACAAAAAGACAACATAGTTCCTGCTGTCAGCTTCCTGAAGTCTTTAATATTACAAAACTGCAAAGTCTATTACCAGTTGAGCTTTTCTTATTAGCTGTAATTTCTCACCATTTACAAAGAGAAATGATAAGGAAAACTTCACCCACATAAACTAGAAATTTCCTTATTACTTGTAATATTAATTTACATGTAAAGGAATAAAATCTTGTATCTCTACAGATTTAAATTAAATGTGACTTATCTGAGGGTGTGTGCAGGTTGCACTCTCTTCTATACTCTGCTAATTTAAGCCTCGCTCTTAAAATAACTGAAAATAGTCTAAATTTCTGTCTATATAAATGAGTACAGCATCTGAACTAATGCAATACCTGTTAAACCTCTCCAGAGTTATTTCTTATGCTAGTGTTTTGGGTACACAGTGATGTTGTTAAATGTGTTCTTACTGTAAATTGTATTGCTTTGAACTATCAAATATCAAAGTTGAATATTGATTTGTATATGTAACTATGTTGCTTAGCTCAGCCATTCCCTTTTCTCTCTCTCCAATACCTTTGCACTTGCTTTTCAGTCTCCTCTCCTCGTGGAGAAATGCTCCATGAAGATTCATACAGCTGTCACCAGATCACTTTAAAAGCTGCTTTCCAAAACAATCTCTGTCAGAGTGCCAGCTGTCTGACATAGCTCAGTTAAACTGTGAGCTGACACATCTATGATGAAATTTTACTGTCATTGTTTCCCTCTCAGCTCTGCTCCCGTTCACCTTTTCATCTACACACCTGCTATGCAGGCCTGCTGACAGCTGCAATGGGCAACCTCACCTGTGTTATGGTCACTCGAAGCTGGTACTGGGAACCTGTCCTGCTCTAACCCTTCCTACCTCCAGCACACCTCTCTCACATCGTGCCCTCTCCTCACCTACAGATGAACATGTCAGCTATGTCCTGATTCATCATTTTGCTGGAAAGAGGGAGCAAAACTGTGGGTAAGAAAGAGGAGAAGAGGAGCAAGTGATGACAAGGCAGTGAACAGCAGTGATTCTACTTCAGCTCTGAGAGAGGTTGAAGTTGATAGTGGTTCAAAGAGATCTGGTGGTAAGGAGCAGGTTTGAGGTAGGCTGGCAGGAAGCAAAGAAGCTGTACTGGTGTATTACTGTGGTTACTGTAGTGGTAATAATATATCAGTGTCTAGAAATATTTGGCAGTATGTACTTTCAGAATGTCTCTTTTACTGAAATATTGATACATTGCCCATCACTAATTTGTGCAATGTCTAATTCTGATCTTTGTGATTTTTGTGTGTTAGAAGAACAGAGAAATAAATAACAACAGCTGTGACTCTCAAACTGGATGTAGAAGTGACAGGATGGTACTATTTGTGATCTGTTCTTCACTGCAGATATTTTCAAAATCTCATGCAAATTCTTTGAAGTTCTTCAGGTAACTTAACTATTCCAGTGTAGCATGAAACATATTAATGAGTGGTCTCTTATTCAGAGACTTACAATAGAACTGGTGCTTATATCTTGTTCTGCAAAGATGGTGTGATACATATATGTTTGTGTGCGCACGTAAGTATTACAGTTCTTTCTTGCATGAATGCTATTGATGAGTAGGTGGCTGAAGGAACCACCTGGGAGGCTGATACTCAGGAAAGCAGTACTAAACTATATCGATGGCCCATGGCCTATAGGTTCCAGGTTTATCTTTTGGAATCTGAAATAAAATATAAAGAAAAACAACATCATTTTGCTAAGGGGAAAAAAGAATTTACTGTAATTCACAAATGCATGTTCCTTATCAGCCCTGTAAATGTCATTGCATGCACAAAACTCCATTTTCCCATATTATAAAAGGTTGTGAAATCAACCAACTCGCTTCTAATTAACAGTGACATTCTGGTGATTGAACAGGTAATTAAGCTCACATCTTCATAGCACAGGAGAGTTCACAGCCTGAAAGGCTCAGAGGAGAAGAACTGAATAAGAGGTTCCATCATGCAATATGGTTTAATGACACTGCTTGAATCATGCAGGCCATGATGTTTGCAAACAAATCCTACATTTCTCAGGGCATTCCTAGAGACAGAACATCAACTCCTGGCGACCGGATAACAAATTCATCATTATTTAAGTTCTGAGTTTTTCCCAAGTGTTTGCACAGCACTTTTAGCCCACAAAGGTTCTTAATCCCAGTTATAACTTCTGTAAATTTGAGAAGTTCTATCACCGTGAAACACTTTGATTGCTGGATATCCTGCCCAGAAGGAAGCAGAAGTGGATGGATGTGGAATTCACAGCCCCGACCTCCAGGGAGGTTGAGGTCAGGGAGTCTCTGGCTGGCTGCCATTGGGAGAGATAGGGCCTGCAGGTCTGCCTGACCCAACCTGTGCCTCTCTTCATAGAGAAATTTTCAGTCTAGGGTACAACAGAGTTGTTCAAATTCAGCTACATGGGGCTTTTTAAGTTTAAGCTGTAATTGATGGACCTTGTCACAGTTTGATTGGATGCCTCCTATTTTCCAGGCTCCCCAAATGTTTGCTTAGTTTGCTTTCTGACTGAATATGCATTGAGTGAGGGGAGAATGACTGGTAAACTCCTGCTATCATGAAGCCAACTGGACATGGATTGTATTATGCAAAGAATCATTGCTAGCCTCTGCTTTTTTTATAAAAAAACAAAGGTGTGTTCACTCAAGCAACTCTAGGAATACTTTTCATATCATGACACAGAAAATGAGCTTATATGAAGTAACTGGGACCCAGACAGTTTAGCCCATTACAGTGAATATCTTAAATTTGCACCCCTAGATTCTGTGGATGTCTCTGTCCGTGGTGATGTTCACATGTAAACATAAATCTAAAATATTTTATTTGGGAGTGCTCCTGTTCACCCAGCCTCTGTTTTTACTCCATGTTGTGACAAGACCTGGATGCACATCAGCCCATATTTCCACCTACCTCGTTTTCCTGGAAGAAAAAAATGCAACTGGGTTACATGGTTCAAAGTGGAATCAGTGTAGACCAGGAGCAAAGGATAAGTGATGGAGCACATCTAGCACTCTGTGTTTAGACACAGTCGAAGTTTCTAATGCAAATAAACTGATGCTAAGACAAAGTCAAACTATAATCTGAAAAGTACTTTCAGGGCTTTTAGTTTAAAGGAGATAACTAAATTGAAACATTATCACTTGAGGAAACAGCACAGGTTCCTCAGTTCTGGACTGTCAGTTCATGTTACTCTGTCAACAGAGCTGAACAAAGTGCCACTGATAAAATAAAGTGCAAAGCTCTGCTAAATGTTGAAGAAAAGAGATTTGTCTTGCTGATTCATCTGGGTGCACAGCCCATTCAGATGAAGGAGAATTAAGGAGTTGGCCAGCTCAGGAAAGGAATGAAAATAACTCACCATCTCAGTAAAGACATCAGCACAAGCCATGCGAATCCGCTCAACGGTCAAGGGGCTGTTCAGTGGGAAGTCCAGGGACAATCCTCTTTCCTTCCATGTAGCAGCCACTGCATCTCGTATTGCAAAGAACACTGAGCTGCCCAGGAAGAATCCAGCCTCGCCCATGCCCTGGTAGAGGAGAGGCAGCTGGAGAGACTGGCTTTAGAAACTGCCAGCAGAGAGTTAAATCAGCACAATATTTCCTTTTTCCATCCATACTCCTGTTTAAGCAATTAAAGCTCTTCAAGATGGACTTTTTCACTTTTGATTTACAGCACAACTGTTTTGTGTTCCTTTACATAAAAGTTTCAATTTTGATTAGGGTTTCTAAGTGCTACTGTAATACCAATAAATCATAGGAAGAAAATTAATCCAAAAATTGAGAACATCAGTGTTTACCAATTTGCTCCATAGCTGAAAATTCCCCCCGCCCCAAAGAAAAAAACCCAAAACAAAAACAAAACCAAAAAACATACCATACACTACAGTTTTGCAGCAGAATCTCCTGCTGTGCTTGCAAACAGTAAGTTTGGCATGTTTACCTTGGAAGAATAGATGGCAATTGAGTTGCGTGAATTGGGCAGTAAATAGACACGGAACTGCTCAGGAATGTCACAGACAGCAGGGATCTTATATGTATCTGGGCCAAGGGTGAGCTGCTCTCCTTTTGGGGAAAAGTAGACTTCTTCTAATGTATAAAGACCAACCCCCTGAATAAAGGCCCCTTCAATCTGAACAAAGAAAAGAAAGGTAAACTTTTATGTTTCATTCAGTCATTTTGAAAGATAAAAACAGATATATAATCAGACATACTTTGTAAGATTACACATTAACTGGCATCTTTCCTTCTATGAATCAACATAGACCTAAATAGGACAAGGCTGTCCTCATCTGACTTTGACAAATATTTTCATTGGCTCAGATTCTACTCTTCCTTATTCATGGCTAATCTCCCTGTAACTAGTACAGTTACCCTTGATTTGCTCTTCAAAATTGCCAAATAGAATTGAGTCAAATCCACAGCAACCTCAGTGAGGAAATATTTATCTAGGGACTATGACATATTTAGTCTGCTCGATCTAATGTTTGCTTAAGAAGATTTGCAGCCAGCCAGTAAGTATATCAGACATAAATAGATGATAGTTTGGATATGAAGAGAAAATAACAGACCCATGTCATGTAGGAAGGAACAACTGCTGAGTAGACACCTGGACTGTGTCAGTAGTGATGTAAACATTGATGCAAGGTGAACATAGAATTAAACTGCTAAGAAAAAATTGGATTTGACAGATTTGGCAGTCCATGAATGTGCAAAATGAACATAATATTTTAGGTGAAGGGCAAATATATGAGGGTGAACCTGTAATAGGACAAATAGCAGGACAGGAAAGGCTTTTAAATGTAGGTCACATTTTTAGGAGCATTTCCTCTGACTCTGCAAAGAAACAACAAATATCATTTACAGTCTGAGTTCACCCCTACTTCCTCATTTACAAATTTCTAGTGAGTGACACCACTTTTGTCACTATTCAGTGTGTCTGTAGATTTATGTAGTTGAATCCATCATACACAGCTATGGAGATAACAGACATTTAAAGAAAGGTCTGATCCATCTCAACAGCCTTTTCCATACATCACGGCTGAAGCCAACACTGCTTTGAAGCTGGTTAAGATTTAGCCCTCAGTCAGTAATTCTGGGATGGAGTAAATTGTTCAGGAAGAAAGTCATAAGGAGATTCAGGGTGCTAATCCTGTAGGACATTTCCAAAGTCCATTGGGCCTGTTTTTCTCATCACTTCTCAGAAGATGAACAAGAAGTACAAAAAGTGACTGTTATTTATAGCTACGAATAAAACCAAATCCATCTGTCAATCTAACATCCTTGAATGTTAGTGGGCAGTGTCTCATAGGCTTTGATAGTTATTAAATTGACCAATAACAGCAATCATGTAGGCACAAATAGAAATTTCACTAACATTTGATATAAAGCAAAACTGTGGAGATTCATACCTGTCCTATATCTATAGCTGGATTTATGCTAAAACAGGCATCCATGACAATGTCTGTTCTGATGTTCTGTTAAATGAATAAAAAGTGTTATACAGTTATATTTAAAATACACAGCAAAGGGATCCTAAATAATCTATAGTCTCATCCATGAAAGATGTGTTAGAAATATTACAAACTTATTCTGAAAAATGAAAGCTTCTTGAGACAGGCTGTATAGATGGAGAGTTCATTTGGATAAACAATTTTTGGCCTGACACTTGGAATGTGATGCACACATCACACATCCTGTGAGTAACAGGATGATCATGAATTCAAGAATAGCTTTGTTCTCATATAGAAACTGCATTGCTGGAAGTGATGTCCAGCCGTCTCCTGAGCTGTGCTGTGAGTGTGGAAGCTCAGTCACTTCAACAGAAGCTCTTTATGTAGAGGAGGGGACAGGGAAGAATGTCCCATAGGCTGTTATTATACAATGTCCAGTGGCTTCTCCTCTTAAATCCCAGCATGGTGTAGTTTGAGGAGGTTCACAGTGATTTTGGAGTCTAGCTCCACATGGGCTACAGGATATCTGGCAGTCTCTGCAGCCAAGTGTGCTTCCCAGTAACCAGAAGACACTGAACTGGTCTCCATACAGTGCTGCTGAGAGCTCTCCCTGCACTAACTCCCCTTTGCAACAGGTCATGGTATGTGACTGTGGCTTCAACTGTTTTAAATGTAACTGTTAAACAGGAGACTGGAACTTATGATATGGTCTAACCTGCAGGAAGATGTTCAGAAGGTCTAATTGAATTTTAAAGTCATCACATTATTTTCCACTTTCTCCTAGTGTTTCTTGTTTTTCTGGTTAACATCAGGCTTCTATTGCAAGAAGAGGATGAATAAATGATATTATAAAGGGCACTATAGCCATTTACTGTTCTGCTGGCTGTGTCTCTATTCTTATTTAAAAAAATGCAAAAGAAAAAAATGCAATAGGAATGTAATGACCGTGGACAGTTCCCCCAACTCCAATTCAAGTTCACTGTGTTTTTTGACATTACCTTGTGGGCTCCTGTCAAACAGTCAATTTCTACTTCAGAACATGCAACTCCAAAGAGAAAATATGGGAATGCATGGCCTTCCTCTGTGTCCCAGTTCATGTTTGTATGATAACCTCTGGAGGAAGTAAGAACATACCTCAGATTATATGAATTTGATCAAGATACCTCCCACTCCCTGTCCTTGTCCTCACTGTCGAGATCACTAAAAGAATCACGTATCATGATATATGAGTTAACAGCTTTAAACTGAAGGAGAGTAGGTTTAGTTTAAATATGAGGAAGAAATTCTCTGCTGTGAGGGTGGTGAGGCACTGGAGCAGCTTGCCCAGAGAAGCTGTGGACTCTGCATCCCTGGAAGTGATCAAGGCCCGGTTGGATGGAGCTCTGAGCAACCTGGTCTAGTGGAAGGTACCCCTGCCTATGGCAGGGGGTTGGAACTAGATGATCTTTAAGGTCTCTTCCAACCTAAACCATTCTATGATTCCTTGGTAGCATAAACTTTCTAAGCTGACTATTTTCATAGGATCCCAGTAGTCAAAGACAATCTGGAGTGTAGCACCACTGATATGTTGTGTGGAATAATTTGGGCACGTTGGAGGGTTGCAAATCATGATGGCCATGGAACATAATTCCTTGTGGGCTTCCTGTGTCCTACTGTAATTGATCTTGGAGAAGACTTTGAGCATTGTCAAACTTGATGAGGAGGAATTAAAAAGGATTAATGTCTTTCCTTACTTGAAATAGCCAGTAGCTGAAAGACTGATGCTTTGCTTCACTGATCTGCAAAAAGTATACTCATTATTAAAGAGAGAAAATTAAAAATTCTTCACCTCACATTTAAAGAAAAAGTGAAACTTAAAAAAAAAAATTAAAGAAAAAAAGAGCCCTGAGTAAAAGCTTTATATTCCCTTGTGCCCTGGACATGTCTTTAGGAAGCAGGGGCATAGCAAAACCACTAAAGTTAGCCAAATTCACCAGAACATTGTGTTGTATCACTTGCTTTTACACCATTTTACACCTAATTACTCTCTCACACTTCCAGTTTAGCTCATGCAGGGCCTTTCTCCCTCCAGAACAATGTCAGCTTAAACTCTACACTTACGGGTTTATCATAATTTAATACTAAGAACCAGAGTGAGAGCTTTACCCAGTCTTCCCATTTGCCATTAGGATTGTCTCTTCGAACAGGCTCCAGGCGCTTCCAAAGGATTTGACAGGCATTCTGGGGAGGAGGAAGGTGGGACACCAGTGACTAACCCACAACCCCAAATCTATCTGCTGATTTCAAAGCAATACAGGCTCTTTCTTGGTGAAATTAGTTTGTTAAATTCATTCTGGGGGCTGTAATTCTGTTTATTTACCTACAGTTTCTTTACTCTGCTATCTGCCAGCTGGGAAGCAGCACTTTGTGAAGACTAGCATTAGCAACTGCTCTAATGTAACTGAAGTATTCATGTGTCGGGCTATTGCTGAAACCATCCTCAAAGGGAAGATAAAGGACCTGACTCTCTTCCTGTTTTGATATACTAGATGGAAAAACCAGTGGCTGGGACAATTCATTACAAAATAAATGAAAGTAGAATTGGTCCCAAAGCATTTAGAAGGTTAAGGGTCTGGCTATTAAGAACAGTACCGGAAATATAACTTATGCTAAATCTTCCTTTAAATTGTGTTTAAATAAAAAATAAAGTGAAGATCCATAAACTCATCTAGCAGCAGTCTAAAAAGAACAGCACCCACATTTGTAAATCTGATACAGTAGAGCAGAGAAAAGTGACCCTTTTTAACAGTGTTCTGTAATTTATGTCACTTTAAACTATGCACATAAAGTAAACCAGCAAGTGGAATTTTGGGATAAAGAACTGCAAGCTGCTCAAAACCAACCAAAAAAAATATATATAAATCCTCAGAGGGACATTCAGTATTCAACAGAATCACTAATTATATGAAAAATGGTAACAAGTCCAACCTGCCCTGCTCTTGCATTGATTTCAGTTCCAGCTGATCCTGCTGTGTATTTGCCCTTAGGCACAGTTGTTGTGCTCGTTTCACACAAGTGGATATAGGACAGTGGTATCCTCAGCTCACGACTGGCAATCTGTGGTAAGAGTAAACAAAAAGACCCTCAGTCTCCATGGAGAGGCAGTCAAGAATTCATCCTGCCATTCATCTCCCTATATTTGCACACACAGAAAAATTACCTAATTCAACAGGACAAATGCTTGTTTCCTTAACAATTATTCTGTAAAACAAATAATTCATATATAAGTTCTATATAAATAATAGCAGATAAAACAATACAATGCAATACTCTATGTTTTGCCTCTAATTGCTCTCTCTAATAAGGTTTTTGTTACAAGTGTAAAACTTAATCAAATTTTAAAAACAATGAATCATTCTCTCTCATCTGTATATCTTATTTTCTATCTCATTTGAAATGGCTTTGTTAGTGTTACCACCTTATTGCATTTCACAGTGTTCTAATATTCTGGTGTTCATGCAGCTCATTTTGAAGAAGTGGCTTCATTTTAGCTTCAAAACAACATAGTTTTGTTTATCACTGTTTACATCCGAAATGCATAAAAATTACGTGGTGTTATCACTGATATTGGATACATAACAAAGTTATATTTTAAGCATTTTTAACTCTCTCTGCCATGAGACATTGGGGTCATTTTTGCATGTGCTTTCTGTGCCCTAGCTATCCTGATAACAGTGATGTTACCACAAATGTTTATCTCCTTTCTAGGTCTTGAAAATGACTTTGATTATCACTTGTATTTTTCTTCTGAAGCTTTGTCTTCATCAGTAACCCTAAAGCAACAACTCAATATTAAAGTCATCTTTCTCATGTCTATAGATTTTACCTATTACAGTTCTTACTGCAATTCATCCTTTTTGCTCAGTTATCTTCCTAATATTTTGTTTACCCTCAGGTACTGCCTAACTCACCTGTAACATCTTAGTGTGAATTCCTTGTCCCAGTTCAATTCCACCATGAGTGATTAGCACAGACCCATCTATATAGATGTGGACAAGAGCTCCAGCCTAAAGAAGAGCCACAAACTTGGTGATTTTCTTCCTTCACTGAACAAAGGTGCATAAAAAAGCACAACAAGGCAAAGACAGATTTAATTCACAAGATCAGTGTATTATTAAACCAGAGTGGAAATTCTCCAGCAGCCTGACAATAACAAATTTCACTGTTCTAAGACAGGATAGAATCTAAATGAGCTAGTACTTATTCTAAGGAATTCTGCAGGAGTCACAGTAATTAGTTCAAGTACAGAAAAACACATTTTTCTTCTTGTGAGATTGGATAAAGTAAGAACATGCTGGCTCTAGTTATAATGTGTATGTATCCCCACCGACTATTCCCTCTTCAGCGGGGATGAAAAGGGAGGACAGAGCAGAATTTGACCCTGGAATCAAAGGCATTTTCAACAGATGACAGGGTATCTCCTACAGTGAACAGCTATAGAACTTTTCTTTTAGAACAGACAATAGTGGAGTTGTACTTTTGTTTTTCTGAAACAAAGGGATTTGCATGTATCCAGAGGGGGTAATAATAAACTGCTGTTCCTAGTCTCTAATTTTGATGGAGCAATGACACACCTGCTCTTCCCTTCTCTCTGGTAGGCTGTCGAGAGAATGGCTGAGAACCTGACTCACTCCTTGTGTTTTGGTACAGCCTTCTCCCAGTAAGCAGCTATCTTAGACAGGAGAAATGCAAGATGCAGGTTGGAATGGAAGTAATGAACTTCAGTTAATGGTAAAATTGGGAATAAATAACTTTCCAAGGAATGATAATGAAAGAAATCAATCCCATAGAAGATATCCACTCTGATGAAGGAATAAGTGGATGTGAAAGAGAACTAAAAATTCTGTAAAAAGACATTTCACTGTGGCATTCAATGAGCTACCAACACTCAGAGCTAATGGTAGAGCCTGAGAGGTGTTGTGAAATACAGTGCCTTGGGGACATCTTTTTATCTGTTACCAATTCTGCATTGACAAATAATGGTCATGTGATCTCTTTGGTGTCAGCTTGTGGTGTTTGCAAACAGGTGATGTTTTGCTGCTGTCAGTTCAAGTTTTAGCTGACAGAGACAAGTTTAAACAATAAATCTCTAAGATTTAAATCCAGACTTTTGGAAATTCAGTGCATTGCCTGAGCTTTATTTTGAAGGTTTTGGGGGAATGTAACTATTATTTATGCTTTTTTTAACCTTTTCTATCAGATGAATTGTGTTCCCTAGATTCAGTGTTACTTTACCATGAGAACATTGTTGGATGAAATATACTGAGCTCTCCCTGAGCTCTTCATCTACAAACTTGTGCAGAAACAATCAAGGGATGGAATAAACTCCTTATAGGCTATGTGGATTTAGTTTTTTTATGCATAAACAAAGAACAATGTTTGTTCATTTAGTCTGAGACTCATTTGAAAGAGTTTTTTATTCAAGACCTGCATTAAAAAGAAGAAATAGTCAGAACTTTAAAGTTTCCCCAGAAATACCACTATCTTATGCCATAAAAATTTCCAGTAGCAGAGCTTAACCTATAATATAAATGGTACTATCTGGACTATAGGAGTGATAATTTTTTTTACTATGGGATAGGTTATGGAAGATTCCAGGTACCACATTTTTATAGTGAATTACTTAACTTTATGCTGGATAAAGATGTCATGTTGTGAATCAGAAATTCACATTTCTGTGAGGTGAATACTCATAGAATCATTGAATGGTTTGGGTTAGAAGAGACCTTCAATCCAAGGGAAGATCATCTAGTTCAGCCAAGGGAAGATCCTTTAGTCCAACCCCCTCTACCATGGTCAGGGAATACTCCACTAGAGCAGGTCTCTCAAAGCCCCATCTCATTTATAAAGCATTTATAAAGACCTTGGCCAGATAGAGTGATGCTCTTCCTGAAAGTGTATCTCAGGGAATGGTATTTTATACTAGTCCAGCATGCTGAAATCCTTTTCCCTTTCTCTTTCTTTTCTGCCTGTAGAGATTACACTTCTTCTATTTTTGGAGAGATAAGTAGAGATCTTACATCACAAAAGCACTGTGTTGAAAGGGTTACCTGATGAAAATAAGTTGCATTAAATCCAACAGAAAACTTCATTGGAATGATGGCAATCCCTTTCTTTTTCCAATAACTTTTAGTGTTAAATTCTTCCACCATTACTTTTCGACTGTAGTAGTCAGATTTGTCCAAACATTCTTCCCAACATTTCCACAGATTCTCTGCATCAAACTTTTCTCTGAAGGATGTTAGGTTAACTCCTTTGTACATGTTTATTTCCCTAACCTAAACAACAAGCAAACTCAGTGCTGAAAGTAAACATTGCTTTATAATACATTGGTATATTATATACAATATAATGCCATGTCATATAATGATACAATAATATAATTAATACTTATCTATATTAAACATAATGTCCTATCCATCCCTGCTCAAATGACCTGATTTTTTTGCTCACATCAAATGCCTGTGAACTTGTGTCAGTGGGACTATTTACAAGGACTACTCAGTGCAAAGAAGGTTGGTAAACTCAAATTTTAAATAAGACCAGTGAAAGCAGAAGTTAAAGCTAAAAATACTGTTTGCCCTTTGGAGATATGTCTGAAAGCTTTCCTGAAATATGGTAAAGGACAGAGGTAGAAGATTCAAAGAAATAGGGAAAAGACATGATGGTTGTCATCCTAGGAAAGTAAAATGATTTATAAACCATAGTTTGAAAATACAAGAGGTTGGCACATACAAAAGAGGCAAAGCTCGCAATGGGTTAAGCAGCAGGTAAGGAAAGGATAAGCTCTTGGAGACTGGAGAGGAAATGGCAACAATAAAAACTGTTGGGACACTCTCTGAAGGCTGGGGAGACAGGGATGACAGAGGTACCTTGTTAAACTGCTGATAGATAGATAGATAGATAGATAGATAGATAGATAGATAGATAGATAGATAGATAGATAGATAGATAGAAAAGTTGTTAATTCCAGTTCTGAGAGGTTGAGATGAGGCGACAGCTGAACATACACAAGGTAATCTAAAACTGGTCGCACAGTACAAGAGATAATACTATTTTGACTGAAGCTGGTCATACTAACAGTAGTCACTAAATATTTTGGAACAGATCCTGAGCCAGTTTTCTCCACTCTTATCTGTATTATATCAAGTATTATTCCATGGAAGCATAGGTGCTGAATAAAATACCATTCAGTCCAAGTAAAGTCGGTAGATTTGTTTCTACAAAAACTGGCTTAAGCACGAGGACCTTCTGATAGTCTAAGTCCTAGAACTGTCTGTTAACTCATGTTTTATTTGGCATTCTTTACTCTTACCTTCTCATGTGGCAGGCCAGTTTGGGTGGCCACAGCCACAATACATGTCTCCATAAACAGACCCGCCTGGGGAAACCCAAATCCTCGGAAGGCAGTGTTGGAAGGCAGGTGAGTCTTGCAGGCATGTCCCCTGACTCGGAGGTTGGGGATATTGTATGCATTGTCCACTTTCAACATAATGTACTCGATTACCTGAGATAAGAGAGGAAAGTTATTCAAATGGTTCATTTTCTTTATAAAGACAGTGAAACTTGTGAAAGACACTCAAGAGACCAATAAGATGTAATTGGTTTAAGGAGGAGTAGAACTTTACTCAGAAGGGTATTGTTCTACTGGTTTTTGCACCAATGTAAGCAAAGAAACCATGTCTAAGTCTGAGAAACTGCATTTAACCTACAGGAATTGCAAGAGCATAAAGAAACATTACTAAGGGGAAAGTCAGACCTTCAGTCTTGGGAAAGTGAAGAAATGAGTTTGTGATAGTAGGCTAGCTTATAAAACTTAGTGTCTCTTTGTCTTCACAGAACTTTTAATTCTGAATTTTCTAGGTCCAGTATGACCTGACAGGAAATATTGTACCTCCTTAAAGATACTCTATAATTGACATCTGGGCCACAGATGTATTTTTGCTTTAGGTAGATGAGAGTTGTACTTAACAAGAACAGGAATATTGTTAGAAGAAATAAATTATGACAAAGGGCTGTTATTTTCTTTTTGTGATCAGTTCAGTCAGTGTAATTGGTATCAGTGAAGAAAAACTTACCAACTCAGATTCATCTTTTGTACAGCCACCATTTATGTAGCACTGAAAATCTGCTGCTATTATTCTACCACCATTCATGAATCCAACCTGTAATATAGCAACTGATGCATTAGTGGTCTTTTCTCTCATGTATTTCAAACTTCTCTTTATAAATAAGAAATATCACACCCAAGGTTCACACTACAGAACTGAACTGGAAAAATTACCTGCACAGATTTCTATCTCTAGGATGGTATTGGTTTGGATCTGAATATAAAACCCAAAAAGCAAAATACATACAAACCCCACAAATCATCAGAGTACCTCAGCTGCCCCCAAAGTTGTTTTCCCACATAGACGTTGACTGCACTCACACAGAATCTGAAAAGCTTCGTCACTGCTGTGTTGAGTATGAACAGAGACCAGACAGAGGATGACAAGAACACTAAAGAAAATATTTGCTATGATAATATTAATTCTACTTTCTGAAGTATTTATTTTGTAATAATGTTTTCACCATCTAGGCAATATAGCAACATGAACCACTGAGGTATATATTTTGCAGATTACATGTTCAGAAATATCCACCAAATTTGATTTGATTCTGGTTCTAGTTCCTTCCTCTTCAGTTCTTTTTTTTTAAGGTAATACATGGTTTTATATTTTAATGCATTATATAATAATATTTAAAGGAGTATAATCACAGAAAACTGCAAAGTAAGTGGAGACCAACTTGTTAAGTTATATGAACTGATGCAGCTCTACCATGATTAAGGATAAGAAAACTATAGATAATGAATATTATTGCTGGCTAAATCCTGCATAGCTGCAGGATAAGAGATGGGACTGATGGGGAGAGTGTATTTTCCTTAATGTAGTTAATCAATTAATACAGGTTTTGCAGTTATTGCATTTAATTAAAGAAAAGGTTAGTGTTGGAGTTAGGTTGAGGATTTGAGAGATCAAGAAAAACATTCCTTTTCCTTCAAAATTGTAGCTGTTATCCAAATTTTAGGAGGAAAAAAAGGGAAATTGTAACTACATCAAAACAGAATATGAATCATACATCTATGGGGGCTTATTGAAAAGTTCTGTCCCAGCAACATATTTTATCCTGGATTTAAAATGGTAATCAGGTAATAGGTACCCAGAAGAATATGAAATACATATGCTATTGACATCTGTCAATCTCAATGCTATTCCTTGTCTTATGGTTAAAACAAGATTTAACTAGAAATGAAACCTTCCTTCTTTCTTCTCCCAAACCAGTTCTAAACCTAGTCTAATCATAACTAAAATTGAACAGTATCTTTGGGAGCAATATTTTCAGCAAAATTAAAAATATAAGCAGGAACAGTCATCAGCCAAACTCTCCCACTCATGCAAGAGTCCCTAGAAAAGCCAAGTCCTCAGCCCTTCTTTATCCAAACCATATTGAACAATAAACCTTGTCCTGGATGGTTTCAGTGTGTTCAGTTCATACACCAGCACCAAAGAGAAGGCCTTTGCTCCTGCTACAACCAGCTTCAAGGCTGATTTCAGTGCTGGCAGTGTTCACCTATATAATGTGAGGATTTAGAAGTCAAAAGTAAGAGTTTTGCTACAAGCTGAATCTTGCATTACCTTTCAGGGCTGTCTTTGTATTAAAGGAGGGGCTCATATTCAATTCTGATACACAAATTTGTGATCTGCAGATGGGGTAGGGCTGATGTTAGCAGTGTTCTAAAGTAAAGGGATGGATGGTTCTGCTTTTTCTGGATATTGCCTGGGCTGTAGGATCATAGCTGCTGTTTTGATTCATGGCATATGGCAGGGTACGTTTAGGACTGGAGAAGGTTGGTGCTGGATTAGGATTTCAGAAGAGGAGGAGTTTGGTTTCTTGCTGTGTCTTGTTAGCCAATGGAATTGTGCTGATTTTTTCTCAGAAGAAACTATTACCCAGTGACTAAGCTAAATATCTTCTTTCGCTCACTTTATATTTTCCAAAGAAAGGGTGCCGTCCACCAGTGATTAACATATCCATATTTCTTTCCAGGACAAAATGGACTGGATGCCCGGTCCTAAAATGAACATTAAAACCCCCACTTTTATTACAGCCTTTTGACACAGATTGCAAACAACATTACATGTACAAGGCCAAACTCCTAGTGGTGGGTGGCACTAAATCAGTCCATCCAATGTTTTAGTTTCTTATTAAACTGCCATGCCTGAGTTTAGACTGATTCAACTTTTTTTTTTTTTTTTTTTTTTTTTTTTTTTTTTTTTTTTTTTTTTTTTTTTTTTTTTTTTTTTTTTTTTTTTTTTTTTTTTTTTTTTTTTTTTTTTTTTTTTTTTTTTTTTTTTTTTTTTTTTTTTTTTAGCAGCAGAAACAAAGTAGAGGAAATGAGCTTTTCTGTGGTTTTCCCTTCAGCTTCTCAACAGGGGATGAAAGTTCCATGAGGCATGCACAGGACATGGAAAGGCCAGGAACTCAAAGGACAGCTGTGGCACAAAGGGCTGATGTGACCACACCTATGTATTAGGATAAGATACACTTCCACTGAATATCTAGAGCGGAATTCACATCCCCACATCTCACAGAGACCCAAATGGTTGTGATTTGTATGGATCATCCCAGAGGAAAACTGCCTCCATGCCTTTATTTTAGCTTTAAGATTGTAAGTGAATACCATTGTCAAAAGCCCAATTTTCAAGCTGCTAAAGATTTACTTCACTTTCAAGATTTACTGCTAAGGAGATAAAAAATAAGATGTCATCAGGATAACCCTCCAAGTAGGGTTCAGGACCGAAGTTTCTTTTTAATTCAGTCTTGTCATTTTTAATTTATTTTAGTTAAAACACTCCTTGGATTCAGTGAAATCAACTTACTTGTTGGCTGCCACGGCTGCAATTACAGCAAAGAGGGAAGGTTTAGTAACCTTCCCACCAAACGCTCCACCAACACGTTTCACGTGGCACATAACCTTGTTGGACTGGAGGTTTAAAGCTGAAGCCACTAATTCCTGCGAAAGTGAACATCCAGAATTTTACCTGCCAAAGTGCATTAACAAATGCCTATTTTCTATGGCTAATGATATACTAAAAGCTGTCTCCAGGGCAGAAAAATAGATTTGCTACAGGTACAAATAAACAAAAAAATTCAAGCACAGTGTATCTTTAAAGAACAGTGGAAATGTAAAAAACAGCTCTGAAAACTAGTTTGGTTATCTGATGCCAGGTATGATAATGCCTATATAGGACTGCACATTCACTGGCAGCTGGAGATAAAGCATCCACTAGAATAGTAAGCTAAATGGAACAGAGCGATTGTTTAGAGCACACTAGAAAATGTAACTAAAATACTGACACTGCATTTTGAAAATACCTCCTCTGACAGTGTTTCAAGAGATGTAAGTAGAGGTTTAAATTGTGGGGCTGACAAAAAAGCTTAAAAAGTGCAAGCCAGTGATGAACTGCAAAAGCTAATACTAAACATGTAGAAATCAACATTACTATTCTTTGAAACTGTTGTTTTCTGCAGGCCTACAATCCAACTCTGATGTTAACTAGAACTTAACTTTTTTTCACATAATTTCACATAACTCATATGCATTATTGTTTCCATATTAATTTATCATTATTTACATGTGATTATGACCCCCATCATCATCAGTGTAACTACTCCTATGAGCAATGCAATTTGTCTGAAATACACTTTTGGAAGAAGACACTCATTGCTGCAAAAAAGTGATTGCCCAGGATTGCACTGATTCTCACTGATTTTAGGAGGATTTGGCCAATATATCTAAGACAGAATTAGTCTTTTCTCAATAAGATTACAATCATATGATCTATCCAAGGCACCCCTTGTTCATCCCATGGTAATACTGCTCATCTGTGTCTGTACTGCCTTGTATAACACAAACAGCACAATACTGTTCCATTCAGCTTCAGCATTAGTAGTCAGGCCACTTACTTTCATAAAAAGATTCAGATCGATTAATCTGAACTGGGAACACCATCAGGGAGTTTCAAGAGAAGCAGAGAAGACTGGAAGCAACTCCTGGTCATGTAGTTCAGCTTTAAGGTTATTTAGGAAAGTAAGATAGAAATCTCATTAATACTTTGTTTTACCTGTATATCTGTTGCATGCTGAGTTGCCACATACACATCCATTTCTTTATCCTCCACTCTTGGAATAACAAGTACACTGTTTGTTTCCATGTAAAAATGTTCCTGTCCTCCCACGTGCAATTCACCTGTTACATACATATAGTTATTGGAAAATACAAACTGGGCTTCAAATGAACTGCAAGGAAATTTATATTTGACTATATATATTTACAAGGCAGAGAAAAAGAGTTTTGCCACAGAAGAAAAATAGATTCATTAATTTTTTTATTTCTTTGTATCCCAGGTTTGCACCTCTTTTATTTATAGACCTGTGTTTATTAAAAGAAAGTTATTCAGCCAGTATCAACTCAATATGTCATGCTTTTTCTTTTTCATGTGGTTACATCTCTTCTGCTATAACAGGATTATAAAGTCTTCTTGTGAATCACTCTATTAGGGAAAATATAGCTTTCCTCTTCCTTTTTTATCCTCTTTCCCCTTTTTCTATCCATTTCTATCCAACACTTCATCTTTGTACCACTTTCCTGTAAGAGAGGGCTATCTGTCAGCACAGCATCAAAGCTAATTCTGCAAATTCTCTGTGTAACCTTAACTTGATGCCACCCTTGAGTGTGACATTATTTCCCTAGAGGTTATTCCTGAGACACATTTCCTGACACACATGTTCATGCAGAAGCAGTAGGAATCAGAACTGAAGCCACTAAAGGGTGACATGACAGTTGGGAAAAGTCAAAATCAGAACAGAAAAAAAAATCATCACAGGCCAAGAACCTACATAGAGAAGATTGAAAGAACTGAGTGGGCCCAAAAAAGTGAAGAAAAAATGAATCTTCAATGGAAGGGGGCTGCAAAGAGGAATACTCTGTGCTACGTGCTCACAGTAGAGAGAACAAGAAGCGTAGTAGTACTTAAATTACAACAGATTGCTTTAATGATAGGAATGGTGAAGCACTGGAAAAAATTACCTCGGGAGACTGCAGAGTCATAATGCTTGGAGGTCTCCAAGAACAACTTCGGTAAATCGGTTTATGGTACAGATAGAATTGAGGTTGGGAAAAGGAAAAGGAGTTGATTGTCTGCTATCTTCCCTTCTGTGATGAAGCCGGTTGTAATTCATGTGTACTTAGTATTCAGTGAAGAGAAAAACTTGGTTGCAGAAATTTAGGGAATGATAACAGCTTAAGGTAGGTCTGATAATACATCTCATGAGAGGACAATCAGAAAAGCATGTGAGCAGGACACAAGTTGTGTAAGCATATATAGGGTGCTCACTAATAAATTTCAGAGCTGCATTCAGGTGTTAGAAACACAGATTTAGGGGAAGTGTTAAAATAGGCCAAGGATATCTTGGTATCATATACCTTAATTTTATTGTCTTTTTACTCTGATAAAAGCAAATTGAGAAGCACAATCCAGATTAAATCAAGGATACCACTGGTTGAAAACTAACTCAGAAAGCAGTTTACACAATTGACTGTCAGTTTGCAAAGCTCATGCATGGAGAATCACAGAAGAGTCTTTTCTGGGTCTAATGTTACCTCACGGTTGCTTTAATAATCAATGATTAAACTATAAATAATATCAAACTGGAAAGGGTTGCAAGCCCTTTAAAGGACAGGTTTGTATTCCAAAGTGCTTGTTCTGCATTGGAGGAAGGGGCTAAAGTCAATGGCATGAAGTTCAGAATGGGCAAGTGGCAGGACTTTAGACAGCACTGCTGAACCAGAGCCAAGCAGGGATTACAGACGAGCACAGCTTGGCTGCATATCCACAGCCGATACCACTACAACAACTTACTCTGGCTCTGTGATACCAATGTTACATAGAATTTCTGACACACTCCACTTGGCACTGCTGAAACCTAATCTGAAACATTTCCGGAGTGAAGTTGGATGTAGTCAAATGAGAGATGATGGAGAAGTGAGCAGTGGCAATGATAAAGGTTGGCAGACATGATTTATGGGTCAAAGATGAAAGGATTCTGTTTAAGAGGGTGAACGTTTAAAGTTTGCAGGAAAGGACGTTTAGATTGGGTATTAGAAAAAAAAACCCTTCTAATTATAAGGATTTTTAAACTCCAGAGCTTGAGAAATATTCTTCATTGATACTTCTTAAACACAGATCTGATATTTATGAACAGAGTATGCTCTGGAACCACTGGATTGTGTTTCTGATTTGAAGACAGTGAATTTGGTGGCTGTAGGAGTGGTATTCCAGACCAGTTTACTCTGATACCCTTCTGATAGCTCTGAATCAAGCAGTCAGCTTAAAATGGGATAAGGTAAGTTAGCTAACATCCATAAACAAAGCCTTATTTAACTGTGATGTTTGTCCTAGGGTACTTTATTTTAGTGAGATAAGGAAATGGTGGAGTTTAGTCACCATGAGCTAGCAGTTGCTAGCTAAGCTTTATTTAAAATATGTCACATTTCAGCTCCATTTCCAGTGAAGGGGAAAAAACCAACAAGAGTAGGGTTTTTTGAGAAGAGATGAGAACTTTAAATTCATCCACCCACTGGAGATAGATTCTGAACTACTCTAACTCTCCTCCCTTGCCTGATGCACTTAATGTTTTAACTACCTTCTATTGTTTCATCAGCAGACTTGAATCCTTTCACAATATCTCCTTTTTCTATTTTCCTTTCTTCAGTGATATATGAATTATGTTTTATTGCATCCTGCAATGAGAAATAAAACAAACATGTTAATTGTAAGTCAGAAAGTCAGATGATTTTTATCATCCATATGATCCTTTTTCAGATGGACAGATGGTTGTAGCTAAGTATTAGAAGGAGTAGGATTGTTTTTTCACTATTAGAGAGAGTTTTCTTTTTTTTTGTCATAGTTCATGTAATTCTCTTCTTCCCCCAAATTAGAAAGATAAATGTCTGTTAATGACATTCAGAACTGTTGACAATATTTCAGAATCAGATTGTTTGTTACTGAAAACCTGCCAGGCTGGAAAATTTTCAGCCTGGATGGATGTAGGATGTGTGATACCAGCACTTCTGCCACCATAAGTTCTCAAATTTAGTTTTATACTGATGTACTACTGCTGGGAATTACTTACTTAAAACTTTCTGAATATTCTTTAGTAATTTCTATCTAGATCTTCAAAGACCACTCTCTGATATCCTGGATGAATATGTACCTAGGAAGATTTTTTGTGTTTCTAGAACCAAAATTTCGGAGGCCATTTATAAACTTGTTATACTTCATCTTCAGAACCAATAAAGTCATATCTCATACAAAAAAGAAAAAGCCAAAGCCTGGCAGAGCTCTGCACAAAGCAGAAAATAGTGAGTGAGGTGACAGAGAGCTCTGTCAGATAAGGAAAAAGAGACAGATTGTTACCTCAAGAGTCAGAATTGGGTCCAGATCTTCATAGACTATCTTCACCTTTCCAGCCCCACACTTTGCCTGAGTCAGTGACTCTGCAACCACAGCACAGATTATCTCACCAACACAAATCACCTGCAACACACCAATGTATTACCCAAGTTAAAAACACAGGAGTGGTTAAGTTCCTGTACAGAAAGTGTTTTGAGGAAATACATTCTGCTCAAATGCCACTTTTATATTCTGTTTCTCTAAGAATATTATCCCAGTGCAGACTTATCTTCATTAGATGAGAAGCCTATTAACATCTTTCATTTGCTGCAACATTTCTGGTATTAGAAATACTGCTGACATCAGTAGTTATGAACATTCTCTGTGTTGATCCTGAGGTGGCCAAATACTGGGTCAAGTAAAATCCCATCTGCACAAACTGCTTTCCTTGTCTGTACTCAGAAATGAAGGGAACTCAGAGAAACAAGAATAGAGAGATAAGAGCAACACATTAGGAATTATTCTTGCCCTATTGCAAATACCACACAACAGCATCACTTGTGATGGACACAGCCTGAGGCCTGGGACATGCTGCATAGTCAAGCTGGCTGCATGGATCTATAAATTTCTTAGCTCTGTTGATGTTTGTCAAAAAGAAAAGTGCTGTCTCCCGTTGCCATATTCTAGTGTATAATCTAGCAATTGATTTCATATTGATTTCAACTAGGCAATTCTCATTTTATTTGCCTCATCTTTTAAAATGTCAGATATCATGGCTGATTTATACTTTCTCAGAATCCATGACAATCACTCATTTATCAGCCCTTAAGGAATCATGGCTTATTCACTTAAACCCCACGTTATTTAAGGGAGTTTTTCCTTTCTCTCTTACTGGGGAATGGTAATTCTGCTCAGCCCAGTTTGCCTGGTTCTGCATTAATTGATTTTGCACTTACTTTCATTTCACTGGAATGATACTTGCAAACTCACTTTCCTATTTTATAAATAACTGTACCAAAAGGTTCAGAAACTCCTCCAGAAGCAAGAAATACCTTATCTTCTGCATATGCTTGCTCATCTTTGCCATTTTTCCCTGGAACATCTTTTGCTGTCACTACATCAACCACTCCTGGCACCTGAAGGGCTTCTGATGCATCAATTGATCTGGAAAGAAGAACATGCACATAAATGAGTACAGTATGTGGGACAAATAACTCTAGTACAAGCAAATCAGTGAACTGTAGGACAGGAGGATAATCCACTTAGTATTCTCATGACAGATCTCTACATAGAGAAGGGAATGTGTTGATTAGCATATTGAGAAAAAGAATAGATGGAAGGCATGAACATCTGTGTGTGCATGGCACAGAACAGCTCTTTCAGTGCTAGTTCCAGTACTCACAAAATATAAGAATATATTTTTTCCACATTTTTCTTGTACTACAACGGGTGAATGCATTAATGTGGACTCTTCTTTCCATATCTGACACTTTTTAAAGCACACAGCAGAGAACTTCTTGCCCCATTTGTAATAATACATACCTCGTAAAATGGCCAAACCAGATAATAAATATAGAAAATACTTGTCAACATACTCACGTGCTTGTAGATTTTTCTTACTTGCATGATCTTTGCATGGGCTTTAACGCTGGTGACCACAGCCAGTGAGAGTTCTCCATCCACGGGACGAATGTCATCAATGAAAACTGCCTCACCAGTGGTGTGCTTAATTCCAGACTGGTGCGTGATGGGACAGCCCACAGGATCTTGTGGAGACCGTCCTGGGTCAACATCCTGCAACACATGTTATCCTCGAGACAGACCAGTAATTATAGGAGCCTTTACTCAAAAACACTTTCTGAGGGTATTTTGTGATTAAAAAAAAAAAAACACATGTGAAACTGTCTACATTTTACGAGGATGTTTGTGGGATGCATTATAAAGGACTGATTAAATTTTTAGATCATGCTGTGTGGGCACCAAGGTGGCCCCGGCAGACACCTGAGAAATATTGGATACCATTCATGTCTCTAGTACATGGCAGTCTCTTCTGTGGAAAGATTGCATTGAATAAACAGAGGTGGAAAAAAACAAGAAAAATATAGGTAAAAGGGACAAAATAACCAATTTCCACAGTGGAACCATAGCAGATAAAGGAGAGCTGAAGTGATCTGGATCTTATAGCTGGCCTGTCTGCTGGGTCCATGCTGCTTCTGGTAGCACCTTGTGCAAGCTACACTCTGACACACTTCACCATCACCACTGCTTCAAACAATCAGAGTTCATTCTGTTTACTTCAGAGAGAACGTATCTTAAATCACAACTATATTCGCGAATCATTGTGATTTCTTCCTGCCCATCTTCCTAAAGAGACAGGTAAATTAATATTCTGGATAGTGTTGGCTAGACTAAAAAATAATCCATTTTTTTGCTGTTTAAATTCCCATCAGTTCCCTCTATTACTTCAAAGACAGCCTGTAATCAAAAGAATTTCAGATATACTTAATTAAAATACATCCTTGTGCTCTCTGTTGTTGAATTGCTGATAGTTCACGTTAACTTGAAATAGACTATTACCATGAAAATCTTCCAACATTTATGTTTTGATTGGGCTTTTGCCAAGTAAAGAGTTCTCTGTAAAACCTATCTTCTTAGTCTCTTAAAGATCAAACCTCAAATTCTTGGCTGATGCTGAAAGTTTTTGGTGGAAAACTGTTAAGAAGCAGCAAAAGTTTGATTTTAAAAGTTTTTAAATTTTGCAACAAAACAAAAAAAAAAGGGGGGGGGGAAGTCCTGATGAAATTTAAAATTTTAAAAATTGGGATCTTCTGCTGCACAAACTTTTTCACATGCCATCCTCCTCTCCTTTTTATACTGTAGCTTTGCAAAGAAATCTTTCAGGCTTGAACAATCATAAAAATGCTGCAGTAGGTTATTTCATTTCTTTGTGCTGAGGCCCACCAGGCAGTTTAACTAAATTCTGCTGAGCTCTTTCATTGCTCAAAGCTGTGTTCTGTGTTTCAGCAATGTCAGGACAGCCTGATCTGCATAACATCTTGGAGGCAAGGAGTGCATCTGTACCCTGAAAGAGCAGGAAATCAACAAAAATAGAACAGATTTCCCACATTACAGTTAGTAGAGGCTTAAGAATGGAAAGTTAGAAGGGCAAAACACTCATTAAAAAAGAGGGACTGTGGCAGTCCCAGCTACAAACACACCTCACCTGGACCCCCTGGGGAACACCACTTTGCAGCAGTCCCAGAGCACTCATGTTCTCCTGTGAAAGCTCAGCATATCTGAAGGGATCCTGAAAAGAAGGTGATGTCAGAGCAGTGTTGTCAGACCCTTATTTCTAAAAAAAAAGTTTTCACCCCACATGTTTTGAAGTAAAGCCTAGCCCCTTTACCCTTTCCATCACATCCCTTAATCTTTAAAAAAGCAGAGTTTTCCTGCAGCCTATGTGCTGATGGGGGGATGCAATTCTTGCCCAGTGCTTACCAGCTGATGTAAACCATGTAACACTTCCAGGTAAAATCTGAAAAGAAAGCTGACAAGCAGAGTTCTTCTATATTCTACTTTTCCACCTGAAGCTGATGGAGGGAGAACAATTTCCTCCAGCACCAGTCTGCAAGCTTCATTCAGCATCTGATCATTCCATTGCCTGGTAAAAAAAGCAGAGTAACATGAAAACACACCTCTTTATGAGTAACAAGTGGCTGAAAATATTGTGAAGGTTTGGGGAAGTAATAAGTGTGTAAAGTTATATCAAGAAAGGACAGGTCAAGTTAGAGAGGACAGGTCAAATACAGCCTATGAGAGGCTGATGGTGGGATCTCCACTGGTGCCATCAAGCAAACCCCACGCTTCACATGACTCCTTCCTTTTGGTTAAATACAGTAAGAGATGCAGTACCTTCCTATGAGCTTCTCACAGGACTTCCTTGCACTGAGTGTGGTTGAGCCGATGCCTCCAAATAAAACAGTCAGGTCTACAATGGTGTCTGTGCCTGGATGGAAGAGCACTCACATTCCAGCATTCACTATGGACAAAGCGTTTTTCTGTCTTTCAGTCTGTCTGAAGGCTGAAATAAAGTCATCCTAATGGGGGAAAAAAAAGGAAGGAAAAATTCCATTAATGTCAGAAATAACTGGGTTTTTTTTATTATTTTTTATTTTAGATGTTACCATTGCCCAAAGTTTCAGTCAAACCTTTTATTTTTCTTGAAGTACTAAGCTAATCCTAGACAGCCGTACTAAGAGGGGATGTTATTTGAGGTTTTCTACATGTAAGAAAACATGCCAAAATTTTAATAACTTTGTCAGTGGTTTAACAGTTTCAGAGTGCTGGAGAAGAATCCTTGTCCTGATATAAGCCACTTCATATATATGGTCTGTATGTTCCTTAAGTTTAATTCCAGCGTAGATATTAGTGGTTTCTTCTGCAGGACATGGAGGTCCCATCATGCTAAGGACCCTGATTTTGTGAAGATTTTACACACAGAGATTTTATATTTTATACTATAGTAATGGTATTTACAGAGGAGACACTAAAAAGGGCTTGGCTTTCTACTGTCAGAAATATTTTGTTCTGGGGAAAAAGCCACATATTTTAAAAGGAAACATAACAGCATTATCTTTCATGATCAGGCTTGTGTCTCATGATGAATCCGTTGAAGAAAGTACATGAAGTGCTCTTTCTGGGGCTCCAGAAAGAAACTTCAGAATCAGACAGCCACAGAACTTTTAAAGTGGGGGTTAGCAGGTTAGGTCTTCACTGTGAGTCTGTGATACTCTCATGACAAGCTTAAATTCAGGATTACATGTTGAACAGCGAGTCTTGTCAGAGATGGAAAATCCTCTCAACAGGATTTACATTGCTTTGCCGAAGCAACGTTCACATCAAACTGCCCAAACCCAAAAGCCAGCAGCTGACAGGAACAAGAGGGAAAACTGACAGCCGACTTTCCATCCGCACTTTCTGTTCACAAGTCTTGCAAAAAAACTGTGTGTGTGCCTTTTCATTATGTCAGCAGAGTTAATCAAACAGGCGATTCAGCATGATAGGGATCGGCAGAAGCGGCCTCCCCAAAAAGTGGTGTTAACTTTCCATGGTGAGACTTCTTAATCTCACATGTTATTCATGTGACAGCTGATAATTTTCCTGCTCTCCAAATCAACCTTCTGAGTTTGCCAGCAGCGCTATTGTCATTTTGTTGTCATATTGTTCATTTTGTTGTCCCCACCTCTGCTGTTCCTGAGTGCAACTGTCTCTCTCTGAAAGGCTCTGAAATACCCTTTGTGATAGGTCTGGCTTTGTGGCACAACTTGTCCTTGGACAAAGCAGGTTGGGATTTCTTTTTTCTTTTACTCTGTGGAATGAAATAACCCATTTCTCCTTCATTTTCTCTTCCAGACTTTGTTTCTCAAATCACTACTAAGGCTCATAGTTTCTAGGCAGCACAAGCACTGTTAGTGCCAACACAGACTATGCTTTTGCAGGCTTTGAGCCCATGGGAATCCCTTTGTTTTTCATGGGATATCTTCCATGGCTGGCCAACCTTTCACTGGCAGAAGCCTCATATAGCGTGAAGCCACACGTGTTTAATTGGCTGCACTGCAGTGGGCAGCTACTCTGGGACTGACCCTTGGATGTCAAGGTTGGCAGAGACTCCTGTGGTCACTCCCTCACTGACTTATCCCAACATGCCAGCTTGTAGTCGGGTCTTCCCCTACTCGCCCCGTACTTTTCCTCACATCCACTAGAGGGATATCTAAGAACACAGCAACCAGGACACCATTTCCTCTGCCCCCAACCCCTAATGCCACACGCTGCCACCTTTGGTCACAGTAGTCAGGACCTTGTTTTTTGAGTAGTTGCACGGACAACGCAGGATTATTCATTGTAAATCGCTAATTACCTTTATCGCTGAATGCTATGTGACAACATGGCACTTTTCCTGCAAATATTCAGGTAGCCTAAATTTCTGTGTCTGGAAGGGGCAGAAGCACACATTTAAGAGTAGGGGAAAAGCAGTAAGGGACCCAAAAGAAGCAGAAGATGATGGCCAGCTGGAAGAAGTGGGAGATGTGATGGAAGGATGCCAGAACCTTCTTAGCCACTTCCAAAGCAGTAGTAGCCTGCATGTTTCAACACCTACTGGAAATAATGGATATATTCCTAATAACTACCCTGGAACCTGAATGAAACTTCTGAAATATCAGGGTCTTACCTTCACAGAGTATGGAATGAGAACAGAAACAATGACCTCCTTGGCATTTAAGTCTGCATGCTCAGAGCCAGCAAGGAAATGATCATTTAAAGGAATATGTCTTTTACCATCTGTTGGAGAAAACTGTAGTCTGTTACTGAGTGTGAAGCAAGAAGGAAACATTTCTGCACTGCAGATTCAAATTTTGTTGAATCTTTGCAAAATAATATATTAAGGCCAATATGGCCTTAGAACTATCTGCACCATTCAGGACCTAGCCTTTGAGTGAAAGGCTAATTTAAGTTATGTGATAGGTGCAATATATTTCCCTATATGAATGCTGTAGGTCTCCATCACAGATAAAATACTGAGTGGTTTATACTTTCTAGAAAATACATGTCTTTCAAATGCTAACAATATTCAGAAAACAAGATATTTAGGTTTAAATACAGCTATTCTGTTTCTACTCAAAAGCTCTTTAGACTCATAAATCATTAAATCACAGTAACTTTTAAGAAACTGTTCAAGCACTGCAATGAGATGGGGAATCAGCCCTTACATCTATAGTTCAAAGACAGTAGAAATGTTGCCACGATTTTCCAAAGCTTTAGCTTGATTACTGGTAGCAATTTAGACACAATGTACATGTATACACACACATGCATATCCACAAAAGTACCAGTGACTTCAGGAGAAATTTCTAGGCCCTAGAGAATGAATCGAAGTTTTTCTTAAAATGAAACAGGCATAAGCAATAAAAGCAAACAGCGTTAGAGTTACAAGACAGAGCTAAACTGTCTGATAAATGCAGCAATATAACCAAAGGCAGTGTAGAAAGGAGGCCTCTCTACCCATCGGGCATGCTGACCTCATGTTCATGAGATGGCCAGATGCTGTTTCCTTTTGTCTTGTGAACCAGAAAAACATTGTTTTCTATTGGCAGATCCTTTTTTCAAGTTAAAATGACAAGCAAATACCAGGATAATGTTCTCCATTCTCCTGAATATACCATTCTAATTCATCCAGGAGATGCACAGTAGTATTTAACTTAAAAACTGTTACCAGTAGACATATTCTCTGTTGCAGTGTTCTGTCCACCCAGCAAAGGTATTTGGCAGGGGGGCAAAGCTTACCTTCTGATGCCACGCTGAGGACAGATTTGCCAACTGATAATATTGGATTCAAGTCCCAGGATGATCCTCTGCTTACAATGTGTCCTCCTAAAGACTTTAACAAACAATGAAGTTATTTTTAGGCTTGTCCTTCTTATGAGAAACAGGGATCTGTATCATAATCCCATTTTATTCTATTGAAAGACCTGTTGGAAGAACTCATATTTGTTTTGTTTAATTTTAAATGAAGTTCTATCTTTGTATTTTTTAATGTGATTTAATCTATTGCTCCTTTCAAAAGCCCTTTCTCATATCATCTCTGTTGACAGAGACCAGGTTTACTTTTCTGCTGCCCAAAGGCATGGCCATTCCCTTGAATTTTCTTCCTTAAAGGAAGAAATACATGGTATTGTAGGAAGAGGATTTTAAAGGAAACAGGGACAAGATCAGAGAAGCCTAATACATGACAGGTAAACAGCCATGTGTTGATAGTCAAGTTAAAGTATGATTGGCTGCACTGTACAGCACCTTACCAGAGAATGTCCCTTTTCATCTTTTCTCAGCCTCCTGCAGTTCTCTGCTCATCCACTGAGCAGGAATAGCAGAGTTTCTCTGGTTATAGTTCTCTGGGTATTTGCCCCTGCTAACTCGCATAGGGCTCCCAGTTATTTCACACCACATTTGTGCCAGTAGTAGCCTTGTAAAGCACCATCCCAGCGTCGTCAATGACATTCCCACAGATCTGTCTGTTGTGATGTTTTATTTACTGTCCCTGCTGAACACACACCGCCATGCTCCTGATCTGTTCTCCAGCCAGAGTTCTCAGCTGCTGCAAGAGGGCTCGGTACGTTTTCGTTTTCTCTGCTGGAAGTTCAGTGACTGCCTTCGTCAGGATGTCTCTGAGCTGGGCCAAGCAGCAGGCAGCTCCTATTACTAGCCCTGAAATCAAAGGAGTTTAAACAGTTTAATCATCATGCCACAGAATAAATGCACTATATAGCTGATATGGCCTCTAAAGAATTGCTTCTGTACACAGCTCTTTGTCAGCAGGATGACAAAGAGAAATGATAGGAAGAGAGACATACCTGAAACACAAAAAAGAGCTATGTGTCTGTGGAAGTAATTCTAATCTTACAGGTATGGGCATCTTATGCAGCCTGGAGAAGCAGTTCCCTTCTCCTGGCAGCTCAGTCTGAACACAGAGCAGATGATGGCACCTCCTTTCTGTCTGACCAACTTTTTTAGCCAGCAGCGCTTTAGCCAAGATCTTTAATCCAAGTATAAAATTTGCAAAATATTCACTTAATACTTGCATTCTTAAAGCATAAGTCTTTCCAAGATAGGTCAATAGCAAAATAGCAAATTTACTTTCCACTTCATGATTTCATAAAGGAGCTTATGCCTTACATAAGTGCACGTTCTGCATTAAATAATAAAGTTGCACTCTATGACAAATATTTACAAAGCCAACTACCATGCAGCAAACAGCATTCTATAATACAGTGACAAACCAGAACTGTGCTATGCTTTTTCAGAACTCAAATGAACCACTCTAGGGTGGTTGTGTAATATCAGCACAAACTGCCCACGAATTACAAAAGTGCAAACAAGGAATTTCATAAGAAGCTGTTGAAACATGAGCAAGGATTAAAAAACTGCCTGGACCTGTCTGCTCAGTCTGATTTGGGTAAACCCCGCCCTACTATTTTCACAGATCTCTTCTCTTGCCTCTGTCTGTGGATTATGGGCACTTTCCTCCTCCTCCTCTTTTCAAGTTTCCATCTGTCCTTCTGTGAATTTCCAATAACTGCTGCAATAAACCCTCTTCTTTCCTCTTCAAGTCATTTGCTTTTCCTATTGACCTCCATGGAAGTCAAGTCTCAGGTTGCTAGGGTCTGTTTACCAGCTGGAACCAACAGTGACTTGAATCCAACAGAGACTACAAAACAGAAAAGATGGAAAGTTCATTCGGGATCTTTCAAAGTAAATAATATATTCCACAGAAAAGCCAACTGGCCCGAAATAAAATGGTCCCGAGTAAGGAGCTCTTTTGGGAAATGTTGGTTCTGTGGAGGCAAACAATTTGCTTTTTAAATATGAGCTATTTGTAATAATGACAACATGTGGATCATCCACATTGAAATGTCTCATTATTTGTGACTAGAACTAGTATTTTCTATTTATCTGAGGATAGATGTTTCACAAAAACATAAGGTTTTCAACAACTGTAGGAACTCAGTCATGCTTGCAAATCAACAAAAGTCAGTAAGGCCTACCATTAGTTCAGGAGGAAACATAAATTCCTGTGTTGGATCCATGGGTGGAAACTGTTCTGGACTGCACAGACCTGAAAGGATCTGCAAATAAATTTGGGGGGTAAGGGGGAGGGGAAGGGGGAGAGAGGAGAATGGACATATTAAGACTAAGTTGCAAGTCTTTGTCAACAGATGAGATTCTTTCCTAGTGTGAGAGTTTTGACACTTTATAGATTGTGTTCAAAAATTCAAGATGCCCAAATTGATTTCTAATCTTTAGTTCTGTTATACCTGTTCACAGACTACTCAAAAGACAGACTATCGTACCAGTCCCTCTCAAGCCTTTGCTTGAAATACATCAAGCTCCAAGAAAGATCTTCCAGCATTTCCTGAAACTGGTCATAGGAAATGTATTGCACCACACTGGGTGCAATGTGTACTGTGGGAAAGTGCAGGGCTGGATGGTATAGTTATGTTCTATTTATAACTGTGCCTGTTAAGGAGCTTTCTGACAAAGCTTGACATGACAACAGAAAACGTCCATCTGATCAGAAAGAATTATGCAAGGTTCCTCTCCAGCCATGCAGAAGCACTTTGAGAACTGAATGCTGACAGTGCACCATAAAAATGACCTTTTTCTACTTGTTCACAGCTGTCTTTTTTTCTGCAGAGCCCTCTGGTGAGGCTATCCATCTTCTGAGCTTTCAGAAGCTTACATAAAAGAAGACTGAATATGCTATATTAACGGGACTAGTTCATATTTTCTGCCTCACTGATTTATTTTTGGAATCATAAATCCTGTCAAACCAGAGAGCAACAGGTCCCAAGTATATTGAATGGGAAAAAAATTTGCATATCCTAGTCTGAAGTCTCTTATCCCTTCCCCAATCAGTCATTACCTCTGGACACATTGTGGTCTTGGTAACTATAATGGTAACTGGATTACTTAGTCTAGTGATTGATTCCCTTGATGAAAATAAATTCTGTGTCTGCCATGACCCTCATGATAGTTCAGCACCAGATATTTGCCTTGGATGAAAGCAACTATGAGGAATGCAAATCAGGGAAAGCCAGATAAGAGGACACCCAAAGGAAGTGTTGTTTTGTAATTGGCAACTACTGCATTGCCAGACTTGTGCTTCAAACAACCTTGGCAGCAGCTCACCAACAATTTTCAGTTCTTAAAGGGGCAGAGGCAACACACAGGGGCACAAACGTCCACATATCCAGTCACACTCCTTGGAGCTCTACAATTTTTCACTGTCAAAACAAGTTTTCCTCCAATCACCCAAGACATTTTGCTTTATAGATTTCTTAATGATTTTCAGTCAGAGAAAACTCATGTAAGGAATTAAAATCCTCCTTCTGGTGCAAAATTAGTGCACTACGGCCTCTTCTTACAGGTAGATGAAGAGAAGACAACAAGTTCTGTGATGCACTCAGGGAATGGAGGATCTTTCTGAAGCAGGATCCTCCTTATGTGTATTGGAGTTCCCATATGATCCCTTACACATAATAATTGTGGGACCTTTGCCAGGACAAACACAAATAAGGGGACTTGTGATTTTACAATGTGTGTATGTAGAATAAAACAACATGTATTTTGAAGCAATACCAATATATCAGTTGTTATATAACATAGGAGAGTGAGACACTTCCCTCAAGATCTTGGAGCCACTAGCAACACAATAATGCTTATGAAAGGCTTAACAAGTACACATTGACATCAAACAACAATAGTTTTGTTCATCTTCAGAAATTCAGATTTGGTGTCTCAAGCACAGAGAAACAAGCTGTGCTGATGGTTGCAAAACTTCTGTTATGGGAGTTCAATTCCACATCAAGAGCAGCTTTTTCAAAGACAGCTGTCTCTGACCAATGGTTTTCTTCCTCACACATAAAAAAACAGACATAAGTGTTTAATATTGAGATCCACACTCTCACTGGAAAATGTCACTAAACAGGTAAAGCCATATGAGGAGCGGCTGAGGGCACTTGGTCTGTTTAGCCTGGAGAGGAGGAGACTGAGGGGAGACCTCCCTGTACAATTTCCTCACAAGAGGAAGAGGAGGGGCAGGCACTGATCTCTTCTCTGTGATGACCAGGGACAGGACCTGAAGGAATGTCCTGAAGTTGTGTCAGGGGAGGTTTAGGTTGAATATTAGAAAAAGGTTCTTCCCCCAGAGGGTGGTTGGACACTGGAACAGGTTCCACAGGGCAGGGGTCACAGCACCAAACCTGACAGAGTTCAAGAAGCATTTGGACAGTGCTCTCAGGCACATGGTGTGACTGTTGGGGAGGGTCCTGTGCAGGGCTAAGGACTGGACTCGATGACTCTTGGGTCATCTAAGGACTGGACTCGATGACTCTCGGCATACTCTGTAATTCCGTGTTTCTGATAACACAGATAATAACAATGCAGATGTGCTTGTGCTACCTTCTGCAGCAACAAGAGCAGAGAGCCTGGAGTTCAGTTTGGTATAAATGTCCAAAGATAGAAAAGTAGCTGCTGCCATAGTTCAGGATGACCCCTTCCTACAAATCTGACAGTGCAAACAAGAGTTAACAAGGAAAAAAATCTATTGTAACTTACCTGACCCCCTGCAGAAGATGAACAGACACATTCCTCCTGATCCAAGCAACATTGTCCAATTCCTCTGAGTTGGCAACATGATGGCTCCCAAAGAAATCATATTCTATTATATAAAAGCAATGAGGCAGCTTCATGATTTATTTGTAAATGAATGTTTTGATGTTTCCTGTTCCAAATCAGATTTTTTCAACCATTTGAAGTTGTTGCAGGAGACCTCTTAAACCATAGAACCCCTAGGAGTGAGTTCCCTTTGGATACCCAGGTATCCATGAAGTAAATGGAAAAGATCAAAATTACTTCAGCGGTGTTTAGATCCAGTCATTGTAACTGATGCAAAGGATTTCCACTGCATTGCAAGGGTATGTGTAAACCAACAGTCAGTGGCAGTTGTAAGTTCTTGTCATGTTTGAAAACTAAGAGACAGATTTTCCAAAGGTTCAACCAAAAAGAGAATTTCCAAATGATGCAAGATTCCAGGCAGGTAATTCAAAGAGGCTCAGCCTTTTCAGATACCAGAAACTCTCCCAAAATAAGAAACACATTTGAAAATACTGACCTACCCTAGCAAAAGATGTGTAGCTGTCTATAATTGGCCTGTATCCCGTGCAACGGCACAAATTACCTGAAATAAACCATATGATAATCAATCATAAGAAATCAGAACAGTGTCTGAGAGCACCAGCATATTTGGGAATGGTCTGACATCAAACCTGCAGGTATGAAACGCTGAAATTTATGTCCCTATGCTCAAATGGGCAAAATCATGTATGTAAAAATAAGAAATATTACTCCAATAGTGATTATATTATTAAAATTTATTTTAAAGGTCATTTCCAATAATAATAATATTTACTTTTAATGAATGCATGTAAAAAAATCAAATTATGAAAAGCATCCAAAAGTAAATACTACAATTACTACTACCATTACGGAGTTTGGGTTTTACAATCAAATCCAGAATCTACTGCCATCCATCACTATCAAGATTTTCATATACAGTTAGAAGAAGTAATAAAATCTCTACTGGAATTTCTGGTATTTCCCTCATGAAATCAAAATCTTCTGGTGGGAGGGGTTAATTACCTTGGAGCTATAGGAGTGTTAGCAAGCCTGGCACTTGAAAGCAAGTTGAAGTTACTTTGCTATTGTAGTAAATATTGCTCGAAGAGCAAGACTTTGTTGTGTTACTCAGTGAGTACTTATAGTCTTTCAGTATATTGTACCTACTCTTTCAGCATATTCACTGTAGAACTGTACTCCTGCTGCACTATATTGAGGCTGCTGGTGCAGGCAGTTCTAAATGCAGGGATTTTCAGAAACATTTCTGCAGTGCTAAATGCCACTGTGTATCCCTTCAGAAGCCTTTGGTATGAACCACCTTTTTATATTTTGAGATGTCTTTAGCCATTATGACTATATCAGAGTACCACCTACTACCATCATCTACTGCTCTTTGAGTTAAATCATACTTATGACCTTGGCAATCAAATATGTTATCCTTTTATTATACTTTTGACAATTTACTACCCGAAACTTACCATCCAGAGCAGAAATAATCTGCTCTGTGGAAGGTTCTGGATGGTTTCTCAGTAAGGCATACACGGACATCACCATTCCAGGGGTGCAGAAGCTACACTGGGAGCCATTGCATTTGGCCAGCCTTTCCTAGAACAAAACAGAACAATCCAGGGTATGGCTTCCCTGACTTTCTGAACAGCCATCTTCAGGTACGTCATCTACCAGTGGTAAGATGGTAGCAGCATTTTCACCATCCCAAATTCTCAGAGCAAACACCTAGTTAAAGGATAATACTTGCCCCAGTTTAGACCCTCATGATCCTAATTATGAGAATAGAATAATGCCCGAGACTTTCCATTGAGACATTAATCATACATTAGGTATTTCTAACCAAGAAGGGTAGAACACAGAACATCTCCTCAACCAGAGTTTCAACACAGACCAGTCACAGAGTCCCAACTCTTGGAAAATAATATTGAGACAAAAAGAGAATGTTCAGAAGACTTTCTTAAATCTGTGTGGTCAGACTGATTTTCAGGGACAAGCCAGAGTGGAGGAAGTAAAGAGCTGACCTAATCCAAGGGGAATCTCTGGCACACAGATCAAATAATTCTAATTTATGACCTGTCAGTGTGGTTGCCAGCTGCAATCATTCATTCCATACTATGCACATGCAGAGAGTGTTGTCCTCAGAGAGATGGCCAGAGGCCATGCTGGTGACTAAATGAAGCTGACTGATGCTCTTTGTCCTTTCCCATCCCCTTCTGAAAGCTGGCATCCTCCATGGCATATACTTGGATAGCCCTATAGCCCTGGCATCCCACACAGCACAAGCTTGGATAGTCCTGTGTTGTGGAGATTGTGCTCTGCTCCCTGTAGCACATGAGGAGGAGCTCCTTCCATGTTCCATACAGGGCCAATCACAACCCAGCAATTGTTGTATTAATTCCCCCAAACACCTGTTCATCTAAAAATCTCAGGCAACAATCGGTTTCTAGAACCCCTTCAGACACTTTGCACTGCACAGGCTCACAGCACCTTCTCACAGATCCCAGTTTTGTTACAGGCATAGGACAGGACAATCTCATAATTCTGCAGCCTTACACAGTCCAGCTTACTCTCACCTGAATTGGATGAATCCTGGTTTTTATGCTTCCAACCCCTTCCACAGTGATGACGGCAGCACCATGCAGTGAATAGATGGGCTGAAGGCAGGAGTTGGCAGGACGATGTCTTTGAGACGTGAAGGAGAACTGTGGTGTTAAATAGCTTTGTCATGTGGGTCCATGGAGGATGAAACAAAGGATACACATTCCAGCTAATCTAGAAATGCTCTGACTTCTGATGTCAGAAAGACATGGGGAGAGGGATGCGAAGCATACAAAATCCTGCACTTGGACCATGACAGTATGCAACCTGCTCCTAGAGCTGGGACTTGGGCATTAAGTAATGAGCTCTTCTAATTAAAGAAGTGGAAGGTTTAATTAAGTGAAAAAAAAAAAACACAACACCCTACATATTTTGTTAAAACCCAAAGTCTAGGGCCAGCTGCAATGGAAGTCTGGCACAGCATTTCTAACGGAACAAAGTTTCAAGAGCCAGGGCCAGGGAGAGATAAGGCAGAACTACTAACTCTGCTGTGGGCAAAACTGTACAATTTCAGTGTACTAAGTCTATTGCCAAAGTCCTTGGAGATTTTATCAGTGATTATGTGAAACATGTAGTGAGGGTTTATTAGAAGTGGCATAGCCTCAAATAAGCACAAAGGACTTAGGAGAGGCAGACGACAAAAGGGCTGTTGAAATCTCAAATCATAAAGAACTCAATCTAAAACATCATTTTCCCAGAAAGCTGGGGGGTTTGGTGTTGAGTTTTTGTTTTGGTTTGTTTGTTTGTGGTTTTTTTTCAAATATTGGAGAGGATCTAAATCTCTATTACTGTGTCATCAGGAGGTCAACCCTGTAATTTCCCAGTGAATGTCAGTTTTCTCAAAACCCTAAATTACTGTTTTCAAATATTAGCACCAGGATACTGTATCAGCTTGGCAACAGGATCATATCATCACAGTGCAGGCACCACAGCCTCCTACTCCACAGCCATATTTTGTACCTGAAAGACAGACTGCAAAAAAGACTGTTAAAGAAAAAAATTACCACATTCAAAAGCTATTTTTTCTTTATGTTCTTCTGAGTTTTCCTTGTGTTATCTGCATGTGTAGAACTGGAGGGTACTCCCCTGTAAGAGGGATGGATTGAGCAAATATAGCAATAGGTTTTCTTATCAGCCTTACTCACAGTACTTTCCTAATCAGCGCACAGAATTGTGTCTGCAAAACAGTATCAGCAGATCTCAGGATGTTTCCAGTGCTGCTTCCAGAACATCCAAGGGGAACAGTGGTTTTAAATGGAGCACAGAAGCCAAGTGCACACACCTAAACCCTGCCTGGAAGGACTCCCTCCATTATGTGCCCCAGCACACTCAAACCACATCTCCTTCTGCAGTCCTGTGGAATCTGCCATTTCCTTTCATCATTTCCCTTCACTTGCTTAACTTTAGAAGCTGCATGGCAACTTCTCAGCTGGGATAACTGCCACTGAAGTCAACAGAGTCCTGACAGCAGGTAGCAACCTGAAGAGCCTCAAATGACAAAATAAAAGTAATAAGATAATAAAATGAACTTATATAAAACTCTCTGAAAGACTGGGGCCTCAATAAATAATTTAATACAGAAGTAGTTCAAAATTTACAATGTTATATCTGTGTAACTAACACACACAGTGCACATGCAGCACTGGATTGCTCCGCTGAGGACAAATGCAAGGCAAATTTTGTTATTTCTACTTATTGTTCTGTTTCCACTGGTTCCTAAAGAAAAGTGAAACAATCTTAACCCCCAATTGCATTAATTTACAGACTTATAGAACTCAAAGGCAAAGTTCAAAAAAAGGATATGCTTCTTTCTTAGATAATACAGCAGCAATTCTTCGGGATCTGCCTGCCTCTCTATTACCTATGTTATGAAATTAAAAAAAAAAAAGAGATTATAGGTCAGAGAGGAATCTAATATAATCATCTCACAGGGATTAATTATGATGTTGAAATGCTGTGATTGTGGATTAGTGTGGAGCGTTTGTTTAGCAACAGGATGCTGTTACTTGATCATAATCTGCACATGAATAAATGAATGGGTCAGACAATGTTGATCAGATATGTTAAATAACTGCTTGCTCAGAGAACTGAAAGGGAAGAGAGGTTAAGTAAGCACTTGAAGAAACAAAAATAGAAGGAAAAGTATCTTTGGCCTAGATCCTTTGTTGATTCCTTACAGCATGAATGAGAAACCCCTTCATTTTAAATCCATGGACTTGTGCATGCAAACATTCTGTGAAATTTTACCTCCTTGAAGTTGATATTAACCCCTTCATTTGCTGAGACCCATTAGCATAACAGTAGAGGAAAATCTCAGTGTAAGAACAGCAAGAAGGATACATATCTATGTATATTTTCAATCTAATGAAGTTTAATGTGTATGAGTGGGTTTATGCAGACCTTGCTCCAGCCTTGTCTCAAGAATGTTGTTGTACTATCAGCATGTTTGAACTTGGTGGAGACAAGAAAACACAAACAACTTTGAAAAAAAGTGTTAGGACCCATTGTTGCAGAATGACCAGAGATTGAACCTCAGGCTTCTCTCAACAATTCTGCTTTATCAGCAGCAACCTCCAATTTACCAGGTGTAAAACAACATGGACTAGTTCAGGAAATTATACAGAAATGCAGAGTAAATAAGGTTTTAGAGTATGTCTTTAAGCACAGTTGGCATGTAACAACAGATAAAACATAACAGACAGAAAGAAGTTGAAGCGCTTTTCCTTAATTCACCTGGTCAAAAAAAAAGCCAGTACTATCTCTCTGGAGTATAAGAGTGTTGACCAAACAACTGAAAAATATCTCTAGAAAAATATATGGCAAGGTTGGTTAGCTGGTTTGGTTTTTTTTAACAACCAAATAAATTTCCTTCCTTTTAGCTTATATTATATTTTGGGTGATGTTTTTGCTAATAGAACTTCTGATTCACTTGACCTGCTAAGTAAGAAAATGTGACAAAATGTCTTAGAAAATGAAATGTGAGCTTCTGGCATCAAGAATAGAAAAAAAATTAGCTACCTCTTTTCTTTGAGTGAATTACTGAAACTATATTAGTAATCTGCATATTCTTTTACTAGAGAGGCACTTACTTCAACTACATCAACTTTGGGAGTGCATTAATAAAAGATTTTAGTAAACAGATAACTATTTTTAATTCTAAAAATCTGTATTATGAGAAGCGATACAAAGTCACTCACATTCAGTAAAAACCACGGGAGAAAGCAGGATATTATTAGGAAAATCAAAGACAAGAGACAATTATCCATGAATAAACTGTTGTTCCATAATAACAGTTTCCTGAAAGTGAACAGTAAATATTAAAGCCGTGCTGTTCAAAAAAGAAAAAACATTTAAAAACTTACCTTCCTGCTGTTCACAAAAAAGACAAGCTCATCTGATTGTTGAGGGTGAGCCATGCTGTTGCATTAAAATCTGAAAAATAAAGCTTTACACATCAAGAGAAATGAATGAAGTGCTATATGGTCCTAAACGTCGACTGAGTTTGCCTTGTCCTGCAGAGTTTAATTTGATGCTCAGTCTCAAAATAAGCAGATAGGGAAGAGCCAGTGCACTGTGTATTGTTTTTCAACAATTAAAGCACTGTCAGATGCCAACGCTCCACCTCCTACTTGTCACCTCAGCTCTTTCCTGGTGACTTGAAATAATCTGAGACAAATCTGAGCCCCTCTAAGTCAAACCCTGTAACCTAAGAGATAACTGTGAAGGGGGTACTTCTGGTCTGAGCTCAAGCTGCCAGGCCTGTTTATTTCATACTATCCAGTGAATTTAGAATACATGGGCATGTGTGATGCAAGAACCCAGGGCAAGCAACATTACCCATTTCTGGGGGGTGTCAAATGCAAAGCTGTGGAGCTGTGGTTCTCATTTACGCTGACCTGAACCATCTATAATTTTTTGTCTTCAAAGTGACCAAGTTTTAACAAAATCAACATTACTACTATACACACATTTAAAATTTCCTTCTGGTTGTCTCTGTGCCATGCCAGCTCTATGCCCTGACTGCTGGGGGTACCATTATAAGATGGCCATGCTCAAGACATGCCCTGTCTTTACAGAGAGAAATTCCAAATACTGATTTGGAGTTCTAGATTCTCATCCATTTCTCTGTATGCACGTCCAGGAAACAAGGTCATTAATCTTTAAATGCCTTATTACAGTTGTTCTTCTTTTTCTTTTTAAAGGGGAATTATGTATGTCTTTCAAAGTCCCCGCAGGCAGATGGGTCCTGCCAGCTGCAGTATCAGTGTAGTATTCCATGTGTATGACAACACAGTTCAAAGGCCTGAGAACAGAAAGAACTAGACCAAGATTTTGGCAGAACAGTATCTATTTAGAGACTACGAGCTCTCCAAACCAGAACCTCGTATTTATATTAGGTGTTAAGCTTACACCACACAGAATGGGACTGCTGAGGGTGAATGGTTATAGAAACACTTCTCTCATGAAGAAAATTAGTAGAAAGGGTTCTTTTCAACCATCTCCAGTTTGGGTGTAACTGTGCAGTAACAGTGCACAATAATGTGTCAATACCCATCCAGTATGTCAGTGCCTTTGGAGCCCCAACATTTCTGCTTATTTATCTCCCAGTATAGTCCAAGAAAATTCCTTTCATAATATCCCATGCAGCTATAGTATCATGTGCCAGGATGGTTAATTACTGATATTTCTAGCTTCCATGCAGTTTTTCAAACACCTAAAAGCCAGCAAACAGCTTTATATGTTTGGACCCAAAATAAACAACAATCCATAATTGATAAGTGCATTGAATTTACTGAGACAACTGGACAACAGTGCCACTTGTAAAGAGGCAGGGAGGAATCTTTGTTAATAATGACTGAGAAATGCTGACAAGCAGACAAGATCTGCACTGCAAACAACAAAGTGCTGGTCTAGAACACGATGAGTCCTTGGAGGGCAAACCTCTCAGCACTGCAAGTGTTGCCTGTGAGGGTTGGGCAATGATTTTGGAAGATCTGACTTGTCTGGAACTAACCAGCACCTGTGCTGGTACATAGGTACATAAGATAACAGAAAATGCAGCTTCCCCCCAGTTCAGTTGACCTATGGGCTCCCTGCTTCAGCATATTCCAGAATTTATCCGTATTTTTTGGTTGTTATCGACATGTGGGGTTGTGAGCTGTCACTGACAAACCCGTGCAGTGAAACTAAGAAGCTGTTTTAAATCAGAAAAATGAATTGTGGCAGCAGCATTCACATTTAATTTGATTTATTGATCTTCTAACAATAAATAAAAGCCAAAGTAATACAAAGAAAGTGAGGAAAAAGAAGTAAAAAACAATAAGGTTTCAGCTGCCTAAATGACACTTTCAGTGGCACTTCAGATGATTTGCTATTACCTGCTTGACCTCCAGTTGCCATATCATATCTTCCAGTCCTGTGCTCTCCTCTGCCTCTGCTGTCTGATGATATCTAAGATGGTCTGGACAGCTATGTTTAAGCAGCTGCATTTCACCTACTCATAGTGGTTACAGAGAGATAAGCTGAAGCAATAAAGATTTCATATCTTAGTAGTCAATGCAAAAGCTGTTTTAAGCTACTGCCTTGATTTCTGTCACAGATACAATATCAACTTGTAAAAGGGACATAAGGCAAGAAGAGAAAATTATGGAGAACTGAGAGGCAGTGAAATAATAAGAGCCTGCAGGCTGACATGTCAAATGAATTAAAGCCATTTACTTCCAGTAGAAATGGCAGTGGTCATAGTGCTGGAGCAATGTGACCTGTGAGTGGAAGAGCAATCCCCATGCTTAGCAAGAAATAACTGATGCAGAGGTTCACTGAAACCACACAGTGAACATCTAAACTACTGATTTTCCCACTTCTGCTTTATTATTAAAGAACCTGCTGCAATTTTTCAGGTGCTACTTTAGGAAACTTCTGTAGACTCACTAAAAAAAGTGAAGTGTTTTCTCTATGCTAGGATGCACCCCAGATCAAAGCCTCAAGTGCAAATGCTATGGAGATTTGTGTATCTGTGTGTGTGCACATTCACAACTGAAGTCTTTGCGCTTGAAGAGCAGGAAAGGCTGAAGTTGTCAATGAGTTCAGTATTTTGGATTCTGATGCTGAAAACTGAATACCGTGACTGAAGCTTTCTTAACTTGAAAGTTATTTCTTGATCTCACCATAGGTTACAAGCATATACATACTGCAAATGTATTAACACCAGAATTTTTGTTACCATTTAACACAGTGTTGCTTTATATTTTGATATTTTCTCCAGGTGCTACTGCTCGGGTGTGGCCTAATCCCATTGCATGATAGCAGCATTAAATGACTGATCTTTGCAGAATGTCTTTGGATCTCATCATGGTTTTTTCTATTTTCTTCATTTCAGGAGCAGCCAAGAGTGGGAGAAAGCTCTTAACTGTGCTTTCATGGCTTAATACACTCCTAAGTACAGGATTAAGCACTAGTTAAGAATCCTTTCCAGAGACAGGTTCATCCAGTCTCCCATTCAAAGCACACTGAACTCCATGCCAGTGTTTCCATTAAGTTCAGAGGCTCTTGGCTTGCCCCATGAGAAAAAGAAAGCTTCTGGTGGAAATTCCAGCTAAGTGGCTGCCAACTTTTGGAATAAAATTCATGTCCTATATATGTAGGTCAACTTGCCTGGCACAGCAGAAGAGAATCATAACTCTTGTTTCTTGCTTGCTTTTGACATAAAAATGTCTGTGCCAAAAGAATCTAAAGTAGCTTTACTACAAGTCAGAGTATCACCTCTGGTCAAAAAGGGACTGAATCCAATAAGTTCTGAGTCATCGACAAAGATCTCTGCGCTCACGCTCCACTGCAAGACTCAGATCTACATTAGAAAATTAGCTGAAGCCATTATAAAATCATTTATCAGATGAAGTTGCTGGGTGTAATAAGTCACAATAAGTTATCTCGCATACCTTTATACTTCATCCTAATTTTGCTTTCCTACAGCATTTGAGCTGTGCTGTTCAGCAGACCTTCCTTGTTGAATATATAACCTTCAAATGCAGATGATGTATTTCTAGCAACTAAATGCAGTTATTTAAGTGAAATACAGTAATGAATGTACTGGAGGAAGAATGAAGAAAATAAGGATAGAAGAAGTAAAGTGCAAAATTTTGGTAGCTGATTCTATTCTGAAAATATGCAAATGAGAAAACATATGTATCTGTGTGTTGGTTAGTGTGTCTTGGAGCAGCAAATCAGTTTTCCATTCCAGTCTTTGTCATTCACACAGATGTGGCCTGAAGAGCGGAGGATGCAGCTTCATTGTTTGCCATCTAAGAGACAAGCAAGAAAGGACAAGAGTGACTTTACTTGACTGGCAAACTCCCAATATTGCCCTTATCAGGTGCTTCCAAGTCACTCAGCAGGGTATTATATAGGAGACACCTACAGAGGGTGGCTGGAAGGAAGGTCAGTAATAACAGGGGGCAGGCCTAAACACAGATGGAGAAGGTCCCTGCACTGGTGGATCTCATCTCCTGCAAGTTCCTGCAAAGAGAGTAAGCCCACAAACCTACTGACTCAGGGGTCAGTAGTGCCTCACCACAATCACAGAAACACCATGGGAGTAATCTGAATGAGAGCTCAAGAGTTTCCATAGCAGAGCCTCAGAGGTTCAGGGTGCAGCATGAATTTATATGCTGACAAGGACCTTGCCTCACGAAATAAAAAAATGCACAGAAAAAGAATTGTAATAGCAGTGGGAACATGACTATAGTGAGCAGTTGCAGAAACCTTAAAGGACCAGTATTATGAGAACTGTATTGCCTCGTTTTTCTTCTTCTGTATCTTTTTGTTAGCTCTGAGTTGATTATTTCTCTCCCAGAGTACTGGGCATAGCAAGGAGTACCAGAATGAGATGACAGTGCTAGAGTGGTAGTCAATGGGGCAAAGCCCTGGAAAGAGACTGAAGATGCTTTAAGGCTGAACCGCTTCATGTCAATAAGATGAACTATTTAATCCCCTGTGGGATTTGACATACAGAAGAAAGGAGGAGGCTTCAGGAAAAGAGGGAATTGTAAAAATTATATAAATTTCAAAGGAAAAAAAGTATTCCCAACCAGGGAAATTTCAGTACAATGTTTGAATGGCATTTGTTGAAACAACATGTGTGAGACCAGTTACCAGGCATTTTAGTTACAAGGAGCTGTATACAAAGCATGACCAATTGGAGACATCATGAGGCGCTGCAGCACTCAGGGGTGCACTTGTATACACTTGTACCCAGCAACAGTTAAATAGACCCTGCCCACAGCCCTCAATTACCAGCTCAGTGAAGTCATCAGTGCAGACTGCCCGTATTTGCTCAGCAGTCAGAGGGCTGTTCAGTGCAAAGGGCTTCTTCAGTCCTCTTTCATTCCTCACACTGGTTACTGCATCTCTCAAAGCGAAGAACACAGAGCATCCCAAGAAAAATCCTGCCTCACCTATTCCCTGAAAAGGAAAAAAAAAATCATATAGTTGTAGGTTTTGAGAAAATGGGAGGAGTACATGTCAGATGAAAATGAACAAAAAAGTTTAAAACCAGTCACTCAAGAAGTGTTTCATCCTTCAGTAAGGAAGTTTATTTTAGTTTTGGAGGAAGCAAGGTTAGATCACACAAAGTCTTCTGAAGGTAGCTGCTTTCGGTGTGCTAAAAAGATGGATTTGAAGTGTCAGCCATTGTTTTAGAATCCTTTAGGTTCATTGTTAAACTTAAATTTAGAATAACTACCAGATGAAATCAAAACCATCCAAACCCAGGTACAGTTAAAACTAAGGAACAAGGCTTGAACTCTTGGTAATTCCCTGTGGACAAATATCACTGACCTCAGTGGGCTTGACATCCCTCACAAGGTCTATCAGAAGATTCACATTTGTTTCTTACCTCAAAGACAGGTCAAATCCACCCTTACTACACAGTCCTCTCAATGTTGTGGCATTGAACATTTTAATCCAAACTGCATTGGGATATTGTAATTGAATCCTACATATCTTTTTGCTAAAATCAGAGAACCGAGTATTTTCCCCAAACATGCTGCATGAAGACAGAATCACCCCTTCCTACAGTGAATTTTAAGGATAACTATCGGAGATAAGTTCACAGAAAAGGACAAAAAATTCTGTTTGAAGAAGGATAGTAGTATCAGCTCTCT